GTGCAAATTTCACACTCAGAAAGAGTAAAAGAAAAGAGCAAAGATGCCTATGTTTTTAAACTCTTGTGGTATTCTGGAGCTCCTGACCTGTTTAACCGATGATGATCTGGAAAGGGAATTGGTGCCATCTATTGGAAAGAGAAAATAAGGACGGTCGTCAGTTTGGCTTTTAGCTTTCCTGCACATTTATCCATCTTATTTTTGTCATGGCAGCTGTTGAGTGAAATGTACTGCATCCTGAGTCAACAGCAGTACCTGCTGAGTGGTCACAAAGGGAGAAGACAGCCCAAACAAGGATCCTATAGTGCCGTGAGTGGAAGTTATTCCACAGACATGAGTCAGTTCATCTCCTCTGCACTGACAGAGACAAAATCACAAAAGCACCAGACTTGTGGCTAACATTTTGCTCTTCTTCTCTGCAAAAACTCTAAAGCTTCTTACTGACAGGCAGAAAATTACTTTGTCATCAGATCTCATAATGCAGGGCCATGTACCTAGAGGAAATAGTGTGGGGTACTTTTCATGGTTCTTTTCTGCTCTTGCTAGACAGAGGATAAGTGGGGATATTTTTGTCAGTTTGACTCAACTCACTAAATTCATTAGAAAAAAAATTACAGATATTATTTTTGACCAGTGACAGAATGGGTTTGTTCCAAGGAAGAAATCAGAGCCGCTGGTGAGGAATTCCAGCAACTTGGCACAAGCAAACTGCAACTCACTTGAGGAAGGAAAAACCTGAAAAATAATACTGTGACATTACAATTTCTCTACATACCAGCAGGCTCTGAGTTAGATCATCTAAAAGCTGTGCTATAGCTTCTTTACTCTTCTGTGTCATTGCACAGGGGTGTTATATAATTGCAGTTGTAAAAGAAGTTATCCACTGGGCTGTATGTGGGACAGAAAGCGGTACATGACACAGTGGATTAAACTGTGCAGAACGGGTCAAAAGCAGTTATTTTGAAACATTCTTTGGCACTGCCTTTCCTTCATATATCCTGCCCACAGCAGGGTTATCAGACTGAAAACAGGACCTTGGGGTGCTTTTTCCCTTCTGTTTTATTTTTGTCATCTCTTGACTTCCTGGACTTCTAATTTTATGATTTTTCCTTGGAAGGTAATAACAGTATCAGTAGCAAGAGGTTCAATACTGGACTGATAATCAAAAATCCATGATGATCCCTGATTTAACATGTCATACCATCTGTCAGTGGCAGATAAACATTCAGATCATACATCTGACTTTGATGTTCTTTGTAGCTGTTTTACTGTAAGTGATAATCTAAAGCCTGACGCCACTTAATGTAAATTTTACCACCTGTCCCTGAGCCCTGTCCAGGCCATGGTAGCATTTAATTGTTGGAAGAGACAAATGCATTTCATCATCTTACTTCTCTCTAGGTTATGGTGACATTCATCACACAGTACTGCTGACTGCAGAATTTGTATGTGCTTCATAATACTCCCTCTACCCCACTTAATCTGCTCAAAGTCTGCAAAGAACATATCTTTACGGTGTTTTCAAATTACCTGTCATTTGGAAATTAAGTTGAATCAGCAAATCTGAAGTCACAGCAAACACTGCAGCTTTTACGCTGGCAAGAGGCCCAGGTATTAATCAAGGTTAGTAGTTCTTCCACAGACCTGCAGATACCTCTGTGGCAGAATAAAGCAAAGCCTCTTTAGGCACCTGAGCTGATCAGAGGAAGGGATCCAGACTGGTGTAGTGTGTATTCCTTGTGTCCTGAGAGAGAAGGTAGTCTTTGGGCTATGTCTGTACATTATCTGTGGGATCCTGACCAAAATCGGGAGTTTCCTGCAGCTACCACAGCAACAGTCAGGAGCAAGAGGGCAATGCTGAGACTGGAAAGACAGGAAGAATAAAGCCAATGTAAGAGTCAGAGGCAGCATGAGTTCCACATGCACAACAGATACAGAGATGGATAAAACATAAGCCCTGTGTGTTTATATGCAGAGACATTCATAGTTCTTTGTACTAAAGCTTTCCCAAGTTCAAGCCTTTGCCCCAGCTTTGGCTGATTCTCAGGATTCAGCTCCTGGACAACTGCAAAATCAGTGTCCAAGCTGTTAGCCCAGGGTCATGTGAAGGTAATTCAGCACAATCCTCCATCATTTCAGACTAAGCTAAACTGAATTATCCCACATTTCCTAGGGAGTAAGGGTGTATGTACACAAAGACTCTTTCCATGGCTCAGCTGCCACAAGGGAATTTCTTAAGTAACTCGACTGAATCCGAGCCCTCAGACCCAGAGCTGACCGATGTCTATTTTCACAAACAAATGTTATGGAGTGGTCTGGGGAAAGCTGGACACTTTTATACCTCTTACCTCCAAATATTTACTATCTGTTCAGTAAAGCAAAGATAGGTGAGCTACTCCTATCTCAGCCCAGCAGTTCAGACCACTCAACAGGAGAGTTAGAACAGATCTCTTTCCTTCACAGAGCCCACACATTTCATTCCTATGTGCTACCCATAACCTGCAGAATGAACAAAAATCACCACATGAGAAACTGTGATGAAAAAAGTGTCTGAATAAAACAGGTGGGCCCAAACCATTTTTTTATCCATTGTATTCCCACAATGCTAATGTCCAACAGGAGTTTTGTGCAAACACTTTAATCTTCCTTAGACAAAAGCAGTTTTTCCTTTTATGTCAATAAACTTAATTGTCTCATATTTTTTTTTTATTTTTCACAAGGCCATTTTGGTTATCTCTCTCCTTTCCATACCTACAAGGATTCTAATTTTACTTTGACTTTTGAAAAGCAAAGTGTTTCATTCCAGTTAGAATCAGATACATCACTTCTGGTTCCAGGCAATCCACCTCTGTTTTACAACTACAAGCAAAGACTGTTCTCGCATTTGCACCTCCTCAAAGAATTGTGAGATACATAGATGTTAGATCTTATTACTCCCCCAAAACTTGGGTATCTGCTGTCTAAAGAAGATCTATTCCCAAAAATTAATTCTGGGTACTAAAACCAGACATGGGATTTCTGTGGGAACAAACAGTCATCAGAAGAGTAATAAAATAGCAAATGCTCTTTAAACTCCTCTGACAAGTAAAACTCAGTTTTCTTTGCTGCACATGCAGTAAGGTCTTTCTGTTTGCAAGAACTTAGCTCAGAGCTCAGATAAAAAGCCATGATAAGCTGCTAGTAATTCTGTTCCTCGTGCTCACAGAAGATGCCTTTATCGCCCCTCTAACTCCCAGACACTCCTGTCTAACATCCAGTCACTGAAGCAGTGATGGGAGATGACAGTAACTCCGAGATCACACTCTCTCTAGCAGAGAAGATCTCAGCGCACCTACAAGGAGACGGATTCTGTTCATTAGCAGTGTAAGGAGAAAGTATATGGATTACAGGCTCAGCATGCATAAATCTGCTACCAGACCTGTTCTATACCACGTAGGTGCTCGCAAACGTTTGCTGATTTTATTTCTAGGGAGATTTTTAAGCTGCACCCTTCTTGAAGTTTGAATGTTGAAGTCCCTCAGCTGTAAAAGGGCTGCTCCCTGCCAGCATCTACCATCCACTGTGCATCTCTCTCCCTCATGCTGGGGGGTCCCCGGATGCGATGCTTGGAGGGCAGCTGAGAAGACTAGTTCATGAAAAGGCTCAGTTTCATCAAACAGCAGACAGTTCACAACTTCTAGGACATAGCAAAGCAATATTGTCAAATCAAAATAGTTTATTTTCAAGCCATGAGGTAATTTAATGAAAGATTGATATTTTTCTCATGAAAAACTGACATTTTAGCTACAACAGAACCAAAGGAACCAAAACATCATAGTTGGCTTTATTACTTGAGAACTGCCCTGCTTCCTGATAAGGACAGTCATAAAGCACTAGGACTGTGCAGGATGAACTGCCTCAGCTAACCCCATTCCTGGAATCTGGCATTTAAGGCCTTCAAGGGCCAGGTACCACATCATAGGACAGGCATTAATGGGCTACATCCCCACAGCGTGGCAAACACCCCCCTAATTGATTTGATCCCGTGGCAATGATCACTAAAATGCCCTGGGCAACAACATTCTCTTTCATTTGCCTCCCATCTGCCTCTTGATCCCGCCTTTTAGGCCTCATGCCTGGAGAAGCCATTCCTCCCTCCATACTTGGCACTGATGAGGTCACACCTCAAGTGCTGGGTCCCATTCTGGATCCCTCAATTTACAAAAGACATTGAGGTGCCGGAGTGTGTCCAGAGAAGAGCAATGGAGCTGGGAAAGGGTCTGGAACGCATGTCCTATGAGGAATGGCTGAGGGAGCTGGGGGTGTTTAGCCTGGAAAAAAGGAGGGTCCGGGGTGATCCTATAGCTCTCTACAACTCCCTGGAAGGAGGCTGCAGCCAGGTGGGGATGAGGCTCTTCTCCCAGGCAAGCAACAACAAGATGAGAGAAAATGGCCTCAGGTTTCACCAGAGGAGGTTTAGTTTGGACATTAGGAGGAATTTCTTCACAGAAAGGGTCATTAGACATTGGAATGGGCTGTCCAGGGAGGCAGTGGAATCACCGTCCCTAGAGGTGTTTAAGGAAAGACTGGACGCGGCACTCAGTGCCCCGGTCTGGTTGACAGGGTGGTGTTGGGTCACAGGTTGGACTCGGATGATCTCAGAGGTCTTTCCCAACGTAACTGATACGATGATTTTGCGATTCATCATCCCTCTTGCCGCCGCTGTCTGATCCCTCATCTACTCCAGTCTTCCTCTTTCCGTGGACCCGCAGGGCTCTACCCCCTGGGGGGCAATGCTCCCCACACGACTTTGCTTGCTCCGGTTCCCCGCCTGGGCTTATGCGAATTCCTGGCCTTCTCAGGATTATGGCGTGAGCGGGGTTTAGCCGCGGGGAATGTGTGAGGGGAAGTGAAACGCCGCGTGCCCAAGACCTGGAAGGCCGCGGGCTTGGGAAATCCCCTTCCGGAGTGGAGAAGGAGGAGGCGGAGGCGGCGTCGGGCGGGCGCGCGGGCGGGCAGTCAGTCAGTCAGCTGAGCCGAGTCGGCCGCCGCCGCCATGGGCGCGTCGTGAGGGAGTGCAGCAGCGCAGAAGGATTCCCCGCAGGCCAGCCCGGAGCGGGGGGAACGGCGGTGGCTGTGACCGGCTTCGCCCTCGGTGACTCGGCGGATCGGGGGTGGGCCTGCCGCAAGGGAGGAGGAAGTGAAGGGCAAGCGGAGAAGCCAGCGGCTTGCGGCTCCCGTGAGCGACTCCGGACCGGCCCGGGGACGGGCTTGGCCGTGCCCGGCAGCGGCGGGGGCGGGCACCCCAGCCTGCCCGGGAACCCCTCCGGGTTATGCCGGAGAAAGGGAAAAGGAGAGAAGGAAGCGAAAATGAAAGTTAAAAATCATCGGAAATGGGATGTGGGCGTGAAAAGCAGCGCCGGGGCGCTGTCAGGGCCGGGCGGGCGGCGGGGCCCGGGTGCTGTCAGAGCTGGGGAGGGAAAGGGTGAGACAGGAGGTCTCGTTTCATTCCCAGAGGAATGGGCTCCTGAGGGAGGGTTGGTTAGCCCGAGAGCAGTCTTGGGGATCCTATGTTTTAGCCCCGTGGGAAATTAATGTTTTATGGAGGCTCATGGATACTCTGGTGTACGGGGTCAGAGGGATTGAAGGTGCCTGTGTGCTGTGACAAGACACAAAACCTTGCTTGTCATAGTACAGTGAATGTATGATTATAATTATTTCATAATTGAGCAAGGGATTGAGAATTTTCTCTTTCCAAACCTTGTAGTAGCTGCTTCAGAGATGTCCAGCAAGTTGAAGGGCCGTCCTGCTGAAAATGGAGAGCATCCCAAGGGTAAAATGGAAAACGGAGTGGACAGTGGGGCTGCCCCTGCCCTTATTACCTACACCCCAGAGGAGATGGTGCAGCAGATGAAAGAACTAATCACTGAGAACAACGAGTTAAAAGGTGAAGGCACCTGTGAGCTGGTTTTGAAATGCAAAAGCCCCAAGACTCATCTGAAGGGTTGTTTGTTTTTTTTTGTTGTTGTGACTATGAATTCTGTGCTCATTTGCCCTTGGTGGATAACATTTTATACCTGGGTAGTATTCACTGTATAAAGGACTCTGCAAGTGGCAGGGCCAGTTGATAGGACTCACGAATCAAATTGAATCGGTATGGAAGAGTAGGGAGAGAACAGCCCAATTACTTGCTTTAGAATTTGATATATAAGCAGTATAGCGCTGTGTATTTTATGAGGTGAGGTGAAAAATCTCTTCCTATGATATGCTTTTTGCTCATCAACCTCTAAAAGCTTTTTTGGTTTGTATGGTGAGACTGTTGGCTTCATTACAGACTAACATTTTGTCATAGCTGCATCAGGAGGGGTGGGTACTGCACCTTCTGTACTTCAAAAAGAAGTGATGGCTGTGGCAGGGTATATCTGGGAGAAACTAATAGCTTTCCCCGAAAATTCCTAATAATTTGAGTCTTTCAGGTGAGATAGATTTGTTTCTGGATCCCAGGAATTTAGGTGCCAGATATTTCTTCCTTTAAATGATTGGAATAAAACCTAAGGGATCTGTGAGTTTTCTGTGTAAAAGACAGAGGTATCGCACTGTTTATATGACAGCAGAGCATGAAGTCACATATCTCCTGTGTTCTGATTTTACATTATTGTTTAAATTCTTCCTGAATCATTTTAGGACCTGGTCCCAGTGCTCTGTCTCATGGGTATCTAGGAGGAAAGTTTTTTCTAGAAGTACGTCTGGTATTTTGCTAAAAGGTTCTATATCATATAAGATAATGTTCTGGGACATATTTACAGCGGCTGGAACTCGTAACTTGCAGAATCCTTCTCCAGATTACAATTATTTACATAACCTGAAGGATTTATGGGCTGTTTATAATATGACATCAGGACATGATAGAAGTTACTGGAAAATATAAGTATAAAATATTTTTAAGCAACCAGCTTTGAGTTGTTTGCCTTAAACAAAGCAAGTCTGAAATAATTTCATTGACTCTGCCTAAAAATCTTGTAAGCATTTTGTAATAGTAAGGCTGATGCTACTCACTGACTTTGTTACATATGAGGAAATAACTGGGCTCTAAGTTGTTTGGTGTATTTTTTCAATGCTTGCGATCAAGCCTTAACCAAATGTTCAAGTAGAGCATTGTTGGGCATATTTGAGACATTTTATTTGATAGCATCTGTTTCCATGCAGTAATTTACCAGTCTAGGCTGCCTGTTTTCCCTGCCAAGTCTCAGTAGCTTCAGAAGCTCAGTTCAGCAGCTTCATTTGGGTTGATCATGTAAATAAGAGGCGCAGCAAAATACCAAGTACCTCTTGTGAACAATGCTTTTGACTTGTACTTCTTGGCTTAGGGAAAAGTCAAGAAGTCAGAGAGTGTGGGCATGTGATTTCAGGAGAGGATTTAATGCTATTTGTTATAGTGCTAAGGGACTATGGGACGTTTAGTTTTGGTTTGGTATTCAAGGTATGTGAGGAGGAGGTTCACATTTCATACCCAATTATTGCCAACCCATTTGATACCGAGGAATGCTGAGCTCAGTGTAGTGGAAATCTGCTGTTTCATGGACAGAGTATTAATGTGAATCAATGTCTTGTCTCTGGCTACCATTTAGAAGCCATGAAGTTGCATAACCAAGCTATGAAGGACCGATACGAGGAACTTTCCATCTGGAGAGAGAAGCAGAAGGAAGAACGAGAATTTTATGAGTCAAAGTTTAAGGAGGCGAAGCAGTGCTTGCAGGCCAAGTGCATTGAAAATGAACAACTACAGCAACAACTTCAGAGCTTGAAGGAAAAAGAAGAAGGAGCTGAAATGGTAAATAAAGAATTGTTTGGATTGACACGCTTTTGAATTGAAAGTCTGGAGCATTCACTCTCTTTTATGATTCATGTCACTGGGAAACTTGGAAATTGGTTAACATCTCCATTTTTATCCTTAGCTGTAACTTATTTTATAAAGTGAAGCCTCTCAGAGTGTAGTAATTGAAAATTATGCCACACCTGGGATAATTTACATTTTCATTAACATTTAATAAACAATTAACATTCTTGACATAAGGAGTAAAAAATCAGCATATCTTGCTAATTTTTCATTCTTTATTTTGTTTACTCTTGGATATCTCTTGACTTTATCCCTCCCTTTGCTTGTTAGATTATCTGTCTCTCATGATCATTTAATTGCTTTTTGTATTTGTGTTTCCAGGGAGAAGTTGACAAGTAAACAAAAGAATGACATGCCATCTATTTTTATTATATCAGTCTTCTTTTATGGAAGCTCTTTTACTGAGCTCAGATTAGATCTGTGCTTCTGCTGCCCCATTTGAGTCTGACTGAGCTTCCTCCCTCTGTCCAACTTTTGGCTCTGTAACACATCATTTCTGATGTTGCAGGTGGTTGTGTTGCAGCCAGGAAACATTTTGCAGGTGGTGCTGAAGGTGTCTGTGGCAAAGCCTATTTAAACAAAACCTGCTTTGTGTCCCACATGGTCATGTGAAAAGTTATTTAACAAGAAGGTCCACATAGAGACAAACTGATGCATCCTGGTACCTACAGGAGCCATGTGGATTCTGTGTTACTTGATGAAGGATGAGTGTGTTAGGATTTTTCTTAACAGAGTCACTAGTAGACTCTCTTTTCCTCTCCTGCCTTTTTTATGGAGCTCTGTAAGAAATGTTTCAGCATGTAAGTCAAAATTGGCCAATAAGCTCAGAAGTTACAAGGGGGGAGAAAGTCGTGTTTAAATAGTGTGATTGTGTAAGTATCACTTGCACAACCTTTACAGGCTGAAAGTTGTGTTTCAGGATTGTCAGGTAAACTCAGGATTTCATAAATCTGGAATATTGTTTTAAGGGGAAGTAGGGGATTTATTCTCCTTTTGTCTGTTGTAGAACTTCTTGTTCTTGGAATGCTAAAAGCACGTTATTGCCAGAGTTTTCCAACCTGCTTGAAGAATCTAACATCTCTCTCCTTCACTGGAGCTGACTCTTGATTGAATCCTCTTACAGCATAAGCACAAAATCATAGGCAGCAGCAAGTCAGGAGGTAGAGTGAGAGACACTGTCAGCATAGAGAGTTTGGAGATTTGGCATAATCATAGGTGAGAATGTAATTCAAACTCCAGGAATTGTCCAGAATTTACACTAATGGTATGTGGTGTAATAAAGGCATTATCAGGAGTTGGAAGGCTCAGATTACAAAATGAGAAAGAAAAAAAACTCACAGGGAAAGGTTCATAATGGCAAGAGACATTTAAAAGTGAGAAAAAAAATGAGACTTGCTGGTTATGTAGAGGTTTAAGAGAGGGTTTTGAGGATCCCGGGGAAAGGGAATAGGAAGAAAGTGAAGGAGACAGTCATTATTGGAAGGAGGAATTAAGTTTGGGGAGAATCTCTGAGGAAGAGAGACTTTGTAGAAGGGATACAGGACCTTGTGTGAAGGTCAGGAAATCAGGGAGAGATGGGGTACAGAGAAGTTGTATGGTGGGGAAAGACTGAAAATGGTGTGTGGGGGTGTGTGTAAAGCTCCTTGCCCATGGGTCTTTTCTCCCTAGAATCTTGGTTAGATTTGGGAAAGAGTAATAAGGATATGGGTGAAAAAATACAGCAATTCTGGACAATAATTCTGTATGTTGGCTGATACCTTATGTAGTAGTGAGAGGTATAGATTTAGGGAAAAATTTACGTCCTAATTATTTGTGCATTTGGAGAACCAGTCCCATGTTTTCCAGAAGCACAATGCCCAGTGTTGGATTAACTCGGTTTCACAATTTAGACTTCTTGCTGTTTGGAGAACCAAAACGTGTACAATGGGCTTTTCCAGACAAGCCTAAACAGAGAAGAAGGGATACAGGACACCGTTGTGTTCAGACTCTGTGCTGCTTGGCTGGTGTTCCCTTTTGTGTGGCTGATGCAGGGTTTGTTTATCCCAGGAGGGCTGCGTGGCTCTCGAGAAGGAAGTGAGGAACCTGAAATCCCAGGTGCAGCGGCTCCAGGCTGAGAAGGCAGATCTGGTTGCCATCATTTCAGAACTGCAAGTCAAGCTGAACATGTCAGCAGAGGATTCCTTCGTGGAGATTGGGATGACCGTAAGTAAAGGGAATAAAAAGAACACAGTAACCTGCAGCCAGGTACCAGCCTAAACGATTCCATGATTCCTTGGTTTCTTAGATTGCCTGCTGTGGAGCACTTGTGTGTTACAAAATGTAGTGATAAAAGACTTGGAATTTTTTTTTGTCCTTCCACTTTAATGCTCAAAGTAAATTAATTTCATAGGTAGCCTCTATTGCACTAAAAATATTCTCTGGAAAAACCAACACGGTCCATCAAATTACTTCAGAGTAGTTAAAAATGTTAAGTCTTGTCTTAATTGGAATTTCTGGGAACATCAGTACTGTGTTTTGTTAAGGGGCAATACCTGTGCATAGACGGGGGCATTTTCTTTTGAGAATGGGTCTCTCTGCTGGCAGACATGTAGGGATGCAGGCAAACAAAACTAAGTGCAAAACTGTAGAGTATTCCCTAGAGGCACAAAAATGTACTTTTTCTACTATTGTTTCTGAAAAATCTTCACAGGCAAACTGTGAAATGTGAAAATGCAAGCCTCTGCTATCCCTATAACCCCCACATCCCCTTTCTGGAAAGGAGACATGCAACAAGAAGTTAGATGAATTTAATTAAAATTTGTTTGGAGTTGTCAGAGAAAACTTCAGATTGCAGGAGGAAACCTTCAGGGATGCATTCTCCCTTTTTTTTTTTTTTTTTTTGCTGGAAGGATTCTCCTTTGGGCTACAAAGGTCAAGGAGTGAGGTTTGTAGTGGGAAAGAAGAGTGGTTCTTTTAGGAGGCAGCAGAATGATTTTTAGACTTAGATTTAAATCACCTACAGTGATGTTGGCTGTGTGGTGCCCAGTCATCTCTATAGGGGAGAGTGGCCGTGGAAGTTGCTGATGAAAGGAGAAGGGCAAATCTCATTATTGTGTCTCTTATCTAATCAGTCCAGAAGAGATACAGGGAAAGGCATGTGAAGTTTTTGAAGTGAAGAATTTCCAAACATGAAGATGATCTGTAGGAGTTTTGGTTTTTATTTATCTATATTGCTATGATAGTAGTTTTCCCTGTTTTTCTTCCTTCCTTAACTCAAACAAATAGAGCTCTGCCCTGCTTAGTCCAAATACCAAGCTAATAGTGCTTTTTTCTTTCCTAGGAAGGAGAAATAAATAGAACTGCAAAGGAACATCAAGAGAATGGTGGTGAAACGACCGGGAATGTTGCTGTCTACATGTACGTAGGTTCCTGTGTAATGCATGTGATTCAGACTTCTCCAATATGTTTTGTTGTCAGTGTGAGGGAACTTCTTTCTATGAGGAATGCACTAGAATATTCTATTTTTCTGTGAGTTTGCATCCCTCCATTGCAGTAGTCTTCCTGCCATATTGGAAAGACCCTCAATTCTCTGACATTTTTCCTCCCAGTTTTCACTAGCTGACAAGAGGCAGTTGGCCAGGCATTTATGGACATGCTGACTTGCCAACTCTTTGGGCTTTTTAGGAAGGCCATACAGAAAAAGATAGAGGCTGCAGGGACTCCTTCCTAGCCTTTGGAGACCATCTAAGAGTATCTGTGCTCTACCCAATTATACTTATGTTGGTAAGAGTCAGAGGTCTTGCAGTCTTTCAGATCTGAACCTGTCTGTCCTGTTTGTGTGTGCTTGGTATGAAGTGTATCACAATGGGGTAGGCTGACAGTGTAAGAGTCCTTGCTTTTCAGGTTACCAGGCTTAGGATACCAGCATTCTGTTTAGGTTACTTCTCAAAATTTGATCTTTGTATCAGCTCCAGGAAACAAGGGACTTTCTTGCCCCTGGCTGAACCTTTACTCCTTGTGGACATAGACATCTGATACTGTTAAACTTTCCGTTTTGGATACTGCCCAGTTTAGCAGCCAGTTGGTTTTGGCTGAACTCTTGTACTTAGTTTGTGCCTTTGCTTTTGAAAGGGAAGGATATGGAAAATGCTAAGGACACAGCAGGCCAGAAAGCTGTGCTCCATGCCCAAGTTGTCACTCCTTACATCAGCAAGGAAGAACAGTGTAATGACAAAGAAATTCGGCCCTCAGCATGCAGTTAAGAAGTTGAAGGGGGAGGGAAAAAAAAGGTGTTATTACAGTTGTGGATGAAACTGAGAGAGCTGCTGACCACAGCCCAGGCTGCAAGTATGAAGCTTGTTGTTAGTGGTGGCTTGTGAGAACATTTACTATGAGAACACATTCCCTGTGGGACTTGCTTACCTTTGGATGAGTATCTGGCCCACATCTACAAGAACAGGGAGTATACATACCTCTTAAAATATTTCCAGTGTCACCATGTGTCTTTGTCCGGCACTGAAACCTTAGATTGGTGCTGTTAACACCTTCAGGGAAATGTGATCCACCCAGGACGGGTTTATTTCTGTAAGAGTAGAACTGCACTAAAAATCCCCTGATAAAAGTTATTTACTTAAAATATCCTGGCTGAACACTTTCTTTGGGGTATTGAATTTTGCTCACCAAAGATTTCCAGCTCTCAGGAGCACAGAGAAGACTCTGCTTTGCTTTCTGTTGTGAACTACAAAAGCAAAGTGTTAACCACACGCTGTTTTACAGCTGAGCTGCTAAAATGTACAAAGTATATATCCTGCCTATCTTACCATATAGTTGGGGGATTTTGACTTTCTGTCTAGATGGACATAAAAATGGAGGTAATAGTGTTTTATCACCTACGCTATTTTTCAGAGTTTTGTGTTTGTTCTGGTTCACTTTACAGTCATTTTGAATGACACTTTAATGTCATTTTGAAAAGAGCTATAGGATGTGAGGGAGGTGAAACACTGAAGAGATCTCTGAGAAAGAAGGTGATTTCTGATGACCATTTTTAGTGGAAGATGCTTTCTTTTCCTGAAAGGGAGCGAGACAGAGATAAGAAACATTCCATGTTTTATTGAGGAAAAAAGTGTTATTTCTAGGAACAGACAGCAGCACTTTGCAGAAAGAGCTGCAAAATAGGTCAGAATAAGTGTGTTGGGGTTTGTATTGTCGTGACTGCTTTTGCTTTCCTTGCTAAATACTAAATTGTTCCCTCAGCTGGAAGGGCGACTGTCTGAGTCCTTTATTTGCACACACAGGGGCTGTGGCTGGTGGTCTTGGTTCTTGGGAATTGGGAATGAGCCCTTTCCTCAGAGCACTGGTTTTCATCACTCTGTGAAATGGTGGCATCTCAAATTGGATCCCAGGGATAAGGGAATTCTCTGGTAAAGTTGTGGCTGTTGTTATTTGTATCTGGTTTGATTTGAAGCAGGAGCAAATCTGCAGATGAATCTAAGAATTTGGAGTCCGAGGAGCTAACTGTGAGCCAGCTGCTGTGCTCCCTTAGAAATGAAACTCAGAAGAGGGAAAAACTTGAGAAGGAGCTGCAGGATCACAGAGAGAGGTATGAAGTAGGTGCACTGTAACATTTAAAGCTGTTTTCTTTCAGGGCTACTGCAGTTACCAAGCCTCTGGCTGATCAGAGACAGGTTTAAAATAACAATGTGACTTGGGTGGGGAATTTCCTGAGCACTCAGCAGTAATAACTTAATGTTGTGGTAGTTCTTATAGAGATAAACCACATGAGCAAAAAGATAAACTTACATGAGCAAAAGAATTTCTGTTTTATTTTTATTTTCTGTAGTGTCACAGTTCAAGAAAAATTTACTCATTGCCTCTTGAGTTTGAACTTTCCCCAGGTTATGTCAGAATTATATGATGACTAGTTGAGGATGTTCTCTCCACTCATTTCTCCATAGTTATTTGGTTTTGCATGAATCATCACTATATCTAAAACAGGGATCACAGTCCTCTTCGTGATACTGGCAGGCTGCATTTGGTGAGCTTGCAAAAGCTCCTTAGAAATGTCTAAAGTAAGTTTAATTCCAAACTTGTTTAAGAGAGGAAGTTTTCACAGTGAGATCTGTATGAGGGTCTGTCCCAGCTCAGTTATAGCAGCACAACTGCTCAGGGGTGGCAAATTGCCCAGGCAGTAGCTGTTCCAGATCCCCACTTCACAGAGAGAGTAAGACTTCCTGGACATGATCTGTTATGAAAGGTTGGTGTCACAGTAATTGATTCTACGTGGTCTTCCTAGAAGAGGTAATGAGCCATAACCAAGTGATTCTTAGAAACCTCAGCCTCTGAAAATGCCACAGGAAAAGAGAGGCAATGTTAATCACTGGATTCAGCAAAAAGACTGACCCATTTCCAAAGGATTGGCAATTTTGGACTGTACCAAAGATTGATCCCTTTGGACTGAATGTCAATGTCCTTCACTACACCTGTAGACTTACACATCCATTTTAATTAATTGTGCATGCTCAGTGTCCTGTGTTCTTCAGGAACTCCCATGGTTGTGCAGACTTTCCTGCATGTCTATGCTTTCCATTCTGCCTCGCATCTATGGCTGTGATGTTAGAGAGTACATCACGTGCATGAAATCCTTGAATAGTCACAATCTCACCTTAAACATAGGCCAAATACATCATCGTTGATTCCTGCTGTTTTCCAGACTGTCAAAGCTGGAGAAGGAAACCAGCAACTACCTGGACAGTGGGACACAAACTGAACAGGAAGAAGAGACTTCAGAGGCTGTAAGTACCTGTCCTCCTGAGCCAAGATTTAACAGTGTGCAGCTGATTTGTTGAGGTCAGCAGCCTCAGGGCCTAGATTTCCACTTGCATCCAGGGAACAAGGGGCAATTATCCTGCACAGGGAATGGAAGTGAACTTTGAACTCTCCAATATGTAGCTTAGAGGTGGTTCCAAATTACACCAGCCAGAGGGGTGAGATTGATGACCAAGAATTAAGGAGGCATGGCATAACTGCGGGTATACCTCATTACCCTGGCCATGCCCAGCAAACAGAGAGAGATGCAGACACTTCTAGCTCCAGAAATTGTCCAGACTGGGTGAATTTCCTGGCTGCTGCCTAGGTCAGCTTTTGGATCAGAATCCTATGACAGCATACTTTAAAATAGACTTTAAATATGGAGCCCATGTGGCACCTGGTTTAGGGTTTTTTGTGTTTTTAGTGGGATGTATTGCAATGGGGGGGGGCATAACTATCTTGGATTGAGACAAAGTTTCAGGCAAAACCTCAGTCCTCATGTTGTAAAGTAAGGGTTTGAAGGGATGTTGGAGTTGAGATTCAGCTCCAGAGTCAGACACCTAAATGTATGTGCCTGCAACTGTAACCTCTCTCCCATAGCCATGGAATCCATCCTAGTTCAGTGCAACTGCATAATACAGACAACTAAGAGTGCTTATATATGAGGTAGACTGGGTTATCTGAGGTGGTACATGCTGTGGGATCTGCTGGAGATCTGTGCTCTTCTGAAGGCCAAGACAAGTATTTTAGACCAGGGCTGGATTGGTTAAACGAGACCAGTTTGCAGTCAGGCCAAGAGATGCCCTTTCTAGGGAAAGCAAATGATGTCTTGGTTAGTTTTTTCTAGTGTTCTTATCTCAGCTTTGCCTGAATTACAGCCTGAGCCAAATGCTCCTCATGGAAGTGCTGATACTGAGGTCAGCACTCATGTGCTTGTGATGGCAGCTGATTCCATGTGCGCTGCTGGGGTTCTGCAGAGGCTCTGCTCAGCACAGCTCATGTTACCTGCCCCTGTTGTAAAACATAGATCTTTATTGGAACTATGGGGGTGTGCAGTGTGGGCTATTTTTGAGGGCTCTGCAGTCGAAGACATCCTGGGAGAGAGGAAGAAGTTTTTCAAACCTGTTTTGTCTCTGTCTGGAGAGTGGCTGGGGGAGAAGAGGCTAGAGCTCATCCTCTGCCAGACAGCAGCTGGACACTCAGCCAGGTCTCCAGAGATGAGTCATTTGAAAGCACCACTGCAGTTACCACTCTGCCCTCCCTGGGAGGCTGCTTATTGCTGCTTATTGTCTTTGAGTTACCTGGAATTTATGAAAGGGTTAAGTCAAAATTGGGTTCTGTCATATTTAGGAATAATTGTGAAGCCTTGTAGATGGGGCTTTATTACTGAGTGTAGAGTGTAATGGTGCAGACTGACTTAGTCTGTTTTCTCTAGAGAAAGATTGATAACTTCCTGCTTAGATCTCTTAGCCTGCAGCTTTGCTATCTTGAATTGTCCATATGAAATTTTCCTTATTTTTTCCCTAAAAGGTTGGCAGTGAAGTAGAAGCCCTGAATTTGCAAGTCTGTGCTCTGTTTAAGGAGCTTCAGGAAGCCCATGAGAAGTTAAAAGAAGCAGAATTGATTCAGAAGAAGCTTCAAGAAAAGTAAGGTTCAGAAGAACAAAAGTTCTGTCGTGGCACTCAGTACATATTTGTAAGAAAACACCCACCTTGGGAAGCTCACCAGCTCTACAAATATCAACTTAAATGTCTGTGTCATAGAAATACTGTAAAAGATTGCTCTTGCTTTGTAAGTGGAGATGAAAGTACAGAAATACAGCAATTGTCAGAAAATCTGAGCTGCCAACCTAGTTCCACAAATAGAACCTCAGTGCCTTGAAATTTAAGATTTGGGTTTTAACCTTTTATGATGTAAAGGCAAATCTTTTCCTGTTCACCACTTCACATAATCAATCCCTGTTCTAGCGTTAGGGGAAGAAGCCAAGGGACCTGGTTATGACCTTTTTCACATGAACTATCTTGACTTTTGAAGACCAGTTGTGTAGGTTATAAAAGTGGTTACAAGACTCTCACTTTAGTTGCTTAGTTTTCTGTCAAATTCCAGGTTTTTGAGATTTATAGTAGTAAGAAAGTAACTGTTGGTTTCAATATCTTTGTTTTCTGCTGGTTGTGTACAGATTGATCTTTGTCTTTCCATGTTCTTCATCAAAATAAGCCTTTAAAGTGAACCACTCAAGGATTCTTTTTGCTATATGCCTAGTGTGCCAAACCCAGAACAGGAGAGATCAACCTGTTTTCCTTGTTCTGTCAGGTGCCAAGCACTGGAAAGAAAAAGCTTGGCTGCTGCATCAGAATTGGAGGAGAAGCAGCAGCTAATATACACTGTCAAGAAGCTGGAACTTCAGGTGGAGAGCATGCAGTCAGAGGTCAAGCTGGAACAAGCCAAGACACATGAAGAAAAGTGAGTGTGACTTGGTTTTGTATTCCAGGAAGGTGTTGCCAGTGAGGAAGGGAAGTCCAAGAGAGCCTGGCCAAAGGAGAATTGAATTGGAAATACTGCAGTTGTGTTCTGCAGCCTTTGAAACCATGTTATGTTTGTAGCCTATGAACTAGAAGACTGTAGTCTTTCATCTGCTGAACCCCTCACTTAGGAATACTTGAGCTGTCAGCTCGGACTTTCATCTTCCTTTAATCACAAAGTCGAAGGTGGAATAGAACAGGGTATAACATACAAGTAGAGGAAGCAGAGGAGTGACAACAGCTGTACCACTCACTAGCGGGGGTAAATGGGGACACATCTTGGAGGGCAGGGACAAGTCAGGTGATGACAGTGCTGGGAAAGTGACATTAATGAAAAGGTCTATGGTTACTACAATATGTTTGCAGTAGGAGAGGGAAGTGTGCAGTGAAGCTGAAGTAGAGAGACTTCCCTTGGCTCCCCACTCCCTTTCATGTGCATCTGTGTAAAGAGTGTGAAAGTGTCAGTCCAAGCTGTTCAGAGAAGCTGAACTTCCTGAAGGACATGTCTTCAGCTGCTGGAGAAGCTGCTCCTTATCTCTGGAGTCTGTGTCTAGTCTGTCTTCTCCTGCACTCTGAGTCAAGACTTGGATGCCTCCCCAAGAGAGGTGTTACATTTTGAACAGAATTTGTGAGCTTGATTTAAAAATACTGGGTGATGGATTCTTCAATACAAAAGGCAGATGATCAGTAAGGACGTACGTTCACACTCAATCCACAGATAGAGGAGCTCACAGTTCATTGGAAGAAAGATGTTGAGACATGGATCATGATTTTTTTTTCATCAGAAATGCAGATTTGCAAGGAGCTGGGGTGGCTTTTTTCTAAGTTCTAACATTATATAGATTTCAAAGAATGAAGTTTTTCACACTTTCACCTCTTTTCTTGTCATAAACAGGGCAAGATACAATAGCCTGCAGGACTCATATAGCAAACTTCTTCCTCAACTCACTGAGGCAATGAAACAAATTGATGAAATGAAACTCAAAGAGGTAAACTCATCACAAGAAGAAATCATAACTTATTAGAGAGGAGCGGGAAGGGATGGGAGAATCTATCCAGGATCAAATTTGGGCAGGAGCCAGTTGTCATCCCTTCTACATAGTAACATGCACCATAGCAGAACTGCTGTGATAAACACAGATCCTGTGCTGTCAGTTAGAGAAAACTTTATCCACATATCAGTAACTTCCATGGTGTTTTTCAGGTAAGGTCTAACCTCCAGTGCAGTACATAGTCCAGTCCTTAGAGAGTAGTGATAGACAAAGACACATCAGTGTTCCTGCAGCATTGTCTATAAGTGTAGGAAGGTAGATCTCTAAACATTTTTGTATTCTTCAATAGAATGCCTGCCACAGTAGGGTCTTGTTCTTAACTGAATCTCCATGGAAGTGCCAGATTCTTCTGTAAATTTTTGGAAACTAGGAAAAAACAGCCTTTGCAGTGTCCATTAGGGAGTTCTATTTTAACTTGATACAATGCAATTTGAAAGCTCATAACTAATCTTTAAGATAAAATATCAGTCACCACTGATGTCTTAATCCAAGTTCCTTTGATGACCAAAATTGGAAGTTTTTCAAGGGCAGGAGAAGGAAGAAGCAAACTTTTACTTCGAGCAGGGTCATATTTGGAGTTCATCTCATAATGAGTTCTTCTTTGCAGCTGGACAGAGTGGATAAAGCTGTGGTGGAACAACTGAAAGCAAAGGTGGAGTTGGCAGAACAAGCTCTTGCTGCAAAGCAGCTCCAGATAGATGAAATGAAGCAGATAATTGCTAAGCAAGAGGAGGACCTTGAAACTATGTCTGTGCTCCGTGCTCAGGTATCAACTCTTCTTCAGAAACTGGCTACTTCCCCCACCCAATATTCAGAAACCAAGAGGTATTTGATGGCTTACTCTGGAATACTGAATACATTTCCTCAACTCCAAAGCATAATTCCCTTACTTGGCTTGCCTTGCAGGTACCTGCAGAGCCTTTATCACCATATCCTAGGTCTCTGCAAGAGGAACTGAATGCTAGAGTCTGGCACAACAAACAGAATTTGGGAATAGATGTGTATTTAAAACCACTGGCTTAAGAATCACTGCATATGTTTTAGGATGATTTCACTCAAACCAGCATGTGTTAACAGTGACTGAAAAGGGGTTGCTTCACATTTAAGGCACGGAACTGGCACCTTGGCCCGGTTCCACTGTCTGTGCTACAGATTTGTCAGTGTCATTGGTTGAATCACGTCCTCACTGCTTGTCTGTGCCTCGTTTCTGCCTCTGTACAGCAGAGGCAATAGCAGTGTCCCCAGGTGAGACACTTGAAGTGTCTTGTACAGAATCCAGAAACTGTTGAGTCTTCTTCACCTTGTGAGTAGTGCAGGTCTTGGCTTTGCAGCGTGTGGGTGTCTTGAGTATATGCTGTGTCTTGAGTATATGCAGGCTATGACACAGTTTTGTGATTTTGTCATATATGAATATGGTTCAGTCAAAGTTACAAATTCTCAGCATGATTTCATTTCTCTGATCAGATGGAGGTTTATTGTTCTGATTTCCATGCTGAGAGGGCAGCAAGAGAGAAGATCCACGAGGAGAAGGAGCAGTTGGCTGTCCAGCTGGCATACCTGCTAAAGGAGCAGCAAAACCTTGAAGATCTTGGCCGGTGAGAACAGACTTTGGCTGAGCTGCCTTTGGACTGTCCTGTTACTCTGTGTACTGGAGTTGACCAACATTGTCTTGATAGCATCTCACTAGAAAGGCAAATAAATTTGCAGACATTTCTTGCTTAATTTGAATTTTAAAAGAGGAGAAGAATTAATTGTCAGACTTCTTATTTTAATTTTTTTAGTAGAATCTCTGTAAGGTGTGTTAGTTCTTAGTTGGGTGCCTTAGCAAGTTTTCACTCTAGGATGATTCATGCTTTCTAAATTCTTGCTGCTGATTCATGTGAGTTTCTTGGGTTCTGGCCTCAATTTTAGCAGTGAATCTGCAGCTAATCTTGCTGCTTGTGTGCCAGGGATATCTGCCGCTTCTGGAGGTGGCAGTGGTAAGTGAATACACTGTTTCAAGTACTGTGGTACTTGAATCAAGTTACATTTCACATTACCTGTATACGGAGCCCTTTTTCTGATGTAACTTGCTTTTCTGCTTTAATCAGATTTGCAGTTTGCCCTGAATAGCTGAGGTCCTCAGAGTTTTCCAGAGGAGTGTGCCCTAGATCCCTAGGTGTGTGGCTGTCCACATCCTGCTGGTATCAGTTGCGTGACCCTGATTTCAGCCGGACCCTGGCATGATCTCACAAAGCAGCAACATTTCTAGATCCTGTTTCTGAGCAGCAGTTGTGAACTAAATGCATGACCAGCTGACATGAGTCTATTTTCAGAGGCCTTACCTTATTTATTCTCCACAGAAGCTCTTTGGCAGAGATGCAGAATCGCCACGGAGCCAGAGTGCCGGATCGGGAACACTCACCTCACCTTGTCCAAAGAGGTACTGTGAGCACCTTCTCCAGTTCACGGGCCAAGCCCTGCTGTGTTCAGGTTAAACCAGCTTTGCTTGGCTGCAAGCAGCCTCCCTGTGGCCATTCTGAAACTGGGTAGCTGGAGAGAGCAAAATCAGGTAATATAACAGGTAATCATTTATCTTCTCTGCTTGCAGGAACTGGTAGTCAAGACTGGCCAGAGCAGCGGAATATCTCAATATATTCATGTCCCAAATGTGAAGAAATTTTACCTGATTTGGACACACTGCAGATTCATGTTATGGACTGCATTAATTGAGTGCTGCCCTCCATTTCTTCGTCTTCTGGAATTTCACCTGCAAAATACTTTGGGTTTTTTTTACTTCTTGCTCAAATAATGCTCAATTCTACATCCTATGAAGGAGGTTTTCGGGGGTTTTCTCCTTAACTCAGTGGGAAAACAGTAAAACTCTTCCCCTGCCCTGTAGTCACTAATCTTCTTGTAATCTGCTTTAGGGAAAGAATTTTCATAGGTTAACAACATGGAAGTGCTACAGAACTCACAGTGTGTCTGCTGCTATGAAACCTTTCAGGAACATTCCCCTGAAGTGCTCTGCCCTATGGCTGCCCTGCAGAATGAGGCTGACTCACTGAAGTCAGAAGAGCGATGGGATATCTGCTGATCAACTCTAAGAACAGTGAGCCTGTTTCTCTCTCATATATTATATACCAGGAAAGTAATACATGAAAAAGCTATTTGAGAAGCTTTCAGCAAAATGGAGTAGTGCTGTATTCATTGAGCATTTGAAGTGAACCCTGCTCTTTCTCCAGATGGCAGTTTTATTGCTGCCCTTGTGACCATACTAATCTGATGTTAAATTTTTGATGGCTTATGTAACTTCTTGCTTTAGCCAGATGTGGGTAAGGTTTAAAACAGATCATTTAGGTCTGATACATGTAGCTCCTGATGTACTCAAGTCACTTGGTTTTATAGAACTCTTAATTTTTAAGGTGTTGTCTTGACTTTTGTTTATTATAATAAAATAATTTGAACCTGTACAGTATTGTGGTAGAAAGCACTGAGATGGATGTATCCTAATTTAAAAAATTATAATGGATTTTCATATCCCAAAATAAATCTATAACAATTATAAAATTATCTATGCCTATGAATACTTTGGAGGCTGAAACAGGATTGCAGATACAGGATTGCAAAAATCTTTATCTTTTTCCTTCACTGTTCAAAACTGAATCTTGGGAAGCAAATATGCCTGGACTCAATACAATCCAGTAGTTAAATCTGTGCCATCTTGTTCTATGGTAGGTCTGTTGGGGTCACTGAGAGGTGACAGTCCACTTCCTTCTGAGTACCAAAATCATGAGCTGGGTGTTCAGAAGGATGAGCACACAACCTGAACATCAAAGCTCAACATTTTAATATCATTTTATTACTTCTTAACAATAGTTTTAGTCCTAAAATCTGGTGTTTCTGTTTTCCACACACACCAGAAATGGAGACAGCAATTGCCACTGCTGTGCTACAAAGGGACCTCTGGAGGTCATCTAGTCAGACCTCCCTGCTTAAGCAGGGTCATCCTAGGGCAGGGTGCTCAGGATTGTGTCCAGGTGGCTTTTGAATATCTCCAAGGGCAGGAGATTCCACAACCTCTCTGGGTAAACTGTTCCAGTGCTCAGAATTTGTATGTGACAAATTCTCCTGTCAACCCACTTCCATAAATAAGTGCTTCTTCAACTTGTGCTGTGGATGAAGATCTGAATCACAGAGGAGAAAATAGTCACAGAAATAAAAAGTTTGGTGACAATATTTTAGTCATTATTTTGCTTCAAACCTGAAATAGAAACTACTCTAGAGCTGATTAATTCAAAACAAAGGCCTCAATAGTGTAAAATTTATGTTTTGCACTCAACAGATGAATATTATTAAAATACACACAACAAAAATATCTGTTTCTTGGGCCCAAGAAAACCTTCCTTCAGCATATTTTTTCATGTCATGCTGTCAGTGAATTCTCAGCTACCAATACCTGGAGAAACAATCCTTTTTTTGCCACTGTAATTAAAGTGAGTTTTTTATTTTACTCGTTGTCACTGTTGTTCTAATTATCTCTTGTAGACTCTGGAGTCTTATTTTCTGTTGCAGCTCATATAGCTGTAATTATAGCCTCATCCATAATTTCAGGTAAAGCAAGAGCTGACTAAAATCTTTTGTGAAGAGATATTCATCAGCCTCCTTGCAACCTTCTTCATCAATTAGAAGCACTCCCAGCAGATGCAATATTTTATTGGCTTTTAATTGGTTCCTTGTGACAGTAGGATTTATGGGCTTTTTTACCCTGAGTCCAATTTTATTATGGGAGGTTTGTGACAGTTATGGATTCTGCAATGATCAAAACCTGATGGAAATGCTACTGGGCCAAAAGCAAACTAATAGAATGATAATAGAGCTGATTTCATCTGGGGAGCATTCACCTTAAAGAAAACACAGAAAATCCACATGAAAGGCCAAAGGAGGAATTACTTATTCATTCATTGAGTCAAAATTAATAATTTTAAGAGGTTTCAGAAAGAGAGGGGACCTTAGCACAGGAATACTAACAGGAAAACATGGGCATTAGCTGAAGTAGGTCTTCATAGGAAGATAATATAGTAGGTCTAATAGTACAAATCAGGAGGGACAAGGAACTCCAAAGAATAAAATCACAATACACTGAGAACTGTCCATACAACAGGGAGGATTATTTTCCTATTGTCATCACTAAATGCAGTCCAGAGGGCAGATGAGCTGCCATGACAAGTGAGTACAGCCAGCAGATGCTAACGAGCACAGGTTTAAGAATGCATCCCCTTTGTTTTCCCTTGAATGAAAGATAAAATTTACTTGTGTTTTAGGGTGACTGAATACTACATAAAGTCACAGAATCATAGAAAGGCTTTGGCTGGAAGGAACCAGGGACACCTTCCACTGAACCAGGTTGATCAAAGCCCTCTCCAACCTGACCTTGAACTCTTCCAGGGACAAGGCACCCAAAGCTTCTCTGGGCAAATTGTTCCAGTGCCTCCCCACTCACACAGTAAAGAATTCCTCCCTAACAACTAATCTAAACCTACCCTCTTTCAGCTTAAAGCCCTTTGTCCTATCACTCCATGCCCTTATAAAAAGTCCCTCTCCAGCTCTCTTGGAGCCCCTTTGGTGTTGGAAGATGCTCTAAGGTCTCCCCAGAGCCTTCTCTTCTCCAGGCTGACCAGCCTGTCTCCATAGGAGAGGTATTCCCCCCCTCTGATTATCTTTGTGGCCTCCTCTGGGCTCACTCCAGCAGGTCCATGTCCTTCCTATGTTAGAGGTCCCAGAGTTAGACACAGCACTCCAGGTGAGGTCTCTCAAGAGTGGAGTAGAGGAGCAGAATCACTTCCCTCGACCTGCTGGCCACACTTGTGATGCAGCCCAGGACATGGTAGAGCTTTCTGGGCTGTGAGTGCACATTGACAGGTTATGCTGAGCTTCTCATCCACCAATACCCACAAGTCCTTCTCCTCAGGGATGCTCTCGATCCATTCTCCTCCCAGCCTGTACTTGTGCTTGGGATTTCCCTTACCCAGGTGCAAGACCCTGCACTTGGCCTTAACTCCATGAGGTTTGCATGGTCCCACCTCTCAAGCCTGTCCAGGTCCCTCTGGATGGCATCCCGTCCCTCCAGCATATCACCTGCACCACACAGCTTGGTGTCATCAGCATACCTGCTGAGGGTTCATGAAATGCTACTTGTCCACTGTTTTAACAAAGGACATTCTTAGTGTAGCAGTGTGTCCCACAATCAGTACCCTGACTTGATGTGGAACAGGAGCCAGAAGCATTTAATTCCATTTCAGATTTAAAATCAAGTCTAGGAAGGGGCCAGAATATTTCTGTGGGGTGGGATTGAGATTTCTGAGCTGCAAGGTGTCTCTGGATTTGCAAACCAAGTCACAGGAGCTGGCAAGCTCATTACTTCGTTACTCCAGTTAGATGGAGAGTGGGGGACTTGGTGCTGCTCTGTGATTAGCCTGGGCCACAGTGGCAGTTAGCAGCCAGAAGAAGAGAAAATGTGAAACAGAGCGTCCTGATGTTTGCCCACAGATTCACACCCATGCCAAGATGGGCATAAGGTGTTTCCCTGTTTCCATCATGGATAAGCAGCAGCACAGAGGAACCCCCTTGGCCCACAAACTCCTCCCCAGCTCCTGTCATTTACTCGTTGCTCCGGCTCCCCTGGAACACCTCTGCATGAGCATCACGCAGTCAGATGCATTCAGAATGAGTTAGCACAGCATGCCTGGGCTAGGAATGTGGTGTTTGTTAGAAAACTCCAAACCAAGAAAGTCTAATGTGACACATGCCAGATGACAACTATTCAGCAGAGCATCTCAACTGCTCAGTGAAGCACCTCTCCCTGTTGTCTGCTGAAACTTCTTGGTTCCTTCACCTATCACAGAATTTCTGTCCTTAATTCATCTTTCCTAACCCAGTACACGGGTGCTGCTGGCCTTTGAATACCCCCAACATGCTCTCTTTGGACATCATCCTGCAGAGTGGATTTAGTGCAAAAGCCTTGGGATCTGAGCTCAAATCCGTATGGTTTGGGGCAATTTTGGGAGGATTTCATAGTAACATTAAGGTTGGAAAAGTCCTTCAAGATCGTTGAGTTCAATCCTTGACTCAACACCACCTTGTTGACTAAACCATAAGTGCCACGTCCAGTTGTTTCTTGAATGCTTCCAGGAATGGTGACTCCACCACTTCCCTGGGCAGCCCACTCCAATGTTTGACCACCCTTCCAGTAAAGAAATTCATCCCAAAGTGAAGAAATTCTTCCTGAAGTGAAGATATTCTTCCTGAATTCTTTCTAAGTGATGCACAGAGTGAGGGACTAGAGCAATGAGTTTGTACATACTCCAAAATACTATTTTTTACAGAATTGTAGTCATACCAAAGAAATAGCGAACCAGACTACAAAATCCTACCCACTGCACGTGACAATAACGGGAATGAATTTACTGCTCTAACACAAGGGCTGACGTTATTTAGGTTATCCAGGTGAGGATGGTGACTGCTGTGACCCTTCCCTGAGGCCACTCTGCCCAGACACGGGCAGCCCTTTGCGGCTTAGCGGGCTCACCCAGAGCCAAGGGCAGTGCAGGGACTCTGTATGAAGCTGACGTCACTCTCCGTGTGACGTCACACACATGACGCCACCCAGCTCACCCCCACCTTGGGGTGGCCTCGCCCTCCCCTCTGCCCGCCCACAACCAAGATGGCGCCGGGCGCCTCTGCCAGCACTAGGGATGGCGCGGGCGCGCATGCGCGGGAGGGGGGGCGTGACCGGGTTGGAATTTTGGCGGGTGCCGAGGAGCGCGCGCGGCGGTGAGCGGGGATGTGTGAGGGGACCGGGGGCAAAGGGAACGATCCGGGGGGGTGGATCCTACCGTCAGGGGTCGGGGAGCCGCGGGGAAGCCCGCGAGGAGGTCAGGGTTCCGCTGGGTGCGGGGGCGGCCGAGCGAGGAGAGAGGAACCGTGAGGGAAAAGGCGCGGGATCCGCGGGGGTCGCTGGCCGTGTTCGCGCGAGTCCTGGAGTTTTGTTCCCTGCTGGAAATGAATATCTATCAAAAGCGGAGTTTTACGGGCAGAACAAAAGTCTCTGCGGCAGGAAGACCCGTAAGCGTAGTTAGAATCTGTGAGTCGTCCAGCCTCACAAAGTGGATTTCCCATCTCTTCTCATCGAAACCTCCCTCGGCCATTTATCTCCTCCTGGGATGATTTGTTTTTTTATGGACACTTGTCCATGAAATGGAGGAGCTGTGAGGAATGTAGAATATAACAATTTTAAGAATAATAACTTAAAAATTTTAATAACTAGTTAAATGCTAATTGTATTATGGTGCAAGACTGGTGAGGTGGAAATGGTTATTACTATGGGAAAGTGGTTGGCATTTCTTAAATTCTGTATCTGTTATGGGCTTTTTTCTAAAAGTAATGCCCTTATGCTGCAGCGAGTTCAGCACGGGTCAGACTTTATATGTAGAACATGTGCATGAGGGTCTTAAATTTAGTGGACTCCTCATCTGCAGCTGTAAACAAAACCAAGCTGGTGGTTTGAAAATCCTCAAAGAAGGATCTCGAACACAATATGTATTTCTAGATAAGCCGTATATGCTTTAACAGTATCACTTTTGTTCTCCCCATAGCAGAGAATACTTTTCCCTGGGGGACTCTTGAAGAAATCCCAGTGAAATCATGGACGGTAAGGGGGAAAGTGCTCCTTTACTTTCAGTAGGAAACTTCTTTTCTGATCAGTATGTTAGTTAATAAGTTGAAGTGTCCAGAAAACTTGGTATACGTTTTAGCAAAAGGCATTACATTGCACTGGCTTCATTTGCAGAGGCCTTTGAACCTTCCTTGTTGTCACTTTCTCATGAGGCTGCTCCCTGCCTTCCCTGGTTCGGTGCTTTCCTCAGCAGCAAAGGCTAAATCAGTTCCTTGATTTGCTTAAAATTTCAGTTCTGTCTGTCCCATTGCTCTCTCTGTACTTGATGGTCTTTTTCCCATTATTCATCCATTTGGTCCATATTTCTTTGTTCTCTATGTTCTTCCATGAGCAAGCTATATCTGAGAATATACTTTATTGCCTGCCTTTCCTCTTCCCTTTCCGTTGGCAAAAGCCACCTGGGTGTCTGTTGGCTACACCTTTACAGGTTCCAGTTCTTTTTAACAGTACTGCACAAGTAGCTGCATAGGAGGAAAAGCTGGTGTTGAGTATCAGTTTTCTGCTGACTGGCCAGGCTGTATCACAGGATGAGTGTCTGCAACCACATTTTCACCTGACCTGACAGCAGGAAGCTACTTTGTCTTCCTTTAACCAAAACTGAAGTGGTTTTTAAAAATGCTGCTCTCAGCTTGCTGCTCTGATTTAGTTTCGGTTGTCATTAGCTTGTAGTTAGAGTGTCTTGGATCCTTTTATTCTTTGACAGCTTTCCTCTAACTGGGCAGGAATAACTCTGAGTTTAATTTTTGCCTTAGCTGATGATGACTTGGATATGTTGGCCTCCCTCCTGGAAGAAAGTGAAGCAACTGAGGAGAGGAATTCTCCTGAGGAGGAAGATGCCCCAGAGGATGAGGGGGGAGAGCCAGATGAATACGATGAGCTGTTTGATGCAGAAGATGATGCGTCCTACACCGAGGAGGTCAGTGCTGAGGACAGCATGATTGATGAGCAGAAGGAGAACCTGGCTGCACTGTTTGGAGATGTAGATGACCTGCTGGAAGAGGAGGAGGCAGAGGAAGCAGCCCCCAGTTCAGCTCCCAGTCAGGCAAAGGAGAAAACCAACGAGGAACTGCAAGGTTTGATCAGCATCTGTGGTCTGTTTTGTTGGATATATTGTCTCTGGAGGGCTAATGGGCAGAAGACAGTGCCTGCTGCTTCTTAGGATGATACCCAGAGGGGGAATACAGAAAGTTCTTGTGACAGCTTCTCAGTCCAATTTTCAGTGCTCAGTTGCCAAACTCCCCAAGCCTGTTCTCCCAAAATAAAGACAGAGGACTTAAGTAAGCCAGGGAGACTAACCTAGTTCTGGTAAGCAGGATAGGGAAGATTGCCTGTGTACCTGTGTCTTGTCTGATGAAGAGCAATGTTGCTTCAGTCTTCAGGGCTGTCATCCTGACATCTTTGACCAACACAGCAGTCCCTTCCCCCTCAGGGCTTATTGGTAGGACACTCTGCCATACCAGTCAGTGTGGAAGGAGAGGTGTCCACTGAGCTGTCCTGTGTCCAGGCCATGTATTTGATTATATTGGGAGTATTTTGTTATGCTAAGGAGTGCAACCATCAGCCATTAAATTGTCTTATGCTTGGTAGGAAAGTTTTATGCAACATGGCAAGGAACATACCACGATCAAGTAAAATATTTATATGAGAGGAACCAGCTCCAGGCTATGTGGAAAAGTTTCCCTTCACTGTAAGCTGTTTAGTATCAAGTAAATTTGTATTGTGACTTGAGTCTTTGTGTTTTAAGTTCCCATGACGTAGTAAAACTGCCAAACTTCCAGGGATCTCATAAATCCCTCTTTGCACTGGCTTCCTGCTGTCTTCATTATTATCCTTTTTCTTCTTTCTTTCCTAGCTGAGCTGAGAAAATTGCAAGAACAGATGAAGACGTTACAGGAACAGTTGCAGAAGACTGCAATTGGGCAACAATCCAGTTCAGGCCCTGAGAAGAAAACCCCTGGTAATGAGACTAATTAAATGGATTTATGATTTGTTGGCTTACCAACATGCAATTTATAGGCAGGACTCCAAATAATTCTGAAGTGGGGCACTGAGCAGCAAGGAGGAATGTTGGTCTGATGTACTACCACCCAGGTTGTTTCCTGCAGCTAGAGACTAAATCAGTTTTGGTGTCTGCACCACGGATTAATTCTGCATTGGACAGCTTTCATGAGTAAGTGCTCCAGGCTCTTCTGGAAGTGTCCTTTTTTATTGGCAGATGTTGGTACACCTGGTAAATACAGCTGTGTTTTGTTGCTATAGCATGTTGGTTGTAGTAATGAAACTACATGGGAAAATTGCAAAGCAGGGGGATGTTTCTGCTTTCCACATCTTTGAGGTTGCAGTGACATCCAAGGTTTTAGATTGTCACAGGGAAGAGTCATTTGGACTTTTCCATCCATGTTGCATTTCAGATGTTGTCAACTTAGTTGAAGGGTTTCCATGTGGGACCCTGACTTGGACTTGTTATTCAAGAATTACAGAGTTTGGAGCAATTTTTAGAGTCTGAGTCCGGATCCTGAGAACTCATAGTTTTTTTGTTTTCTTGGCCAGGTAAATCTCCCTGTCTACCCTTAAAGGAAAGGAAAGTTCAGAAGGTGCAGGAATCGCCATGTTTCTCGGCCCAGCTGGGCAATCCTTTGCCACCAGCCAAGCGAGGACTCCAGAAATCAAAAGTATCCTCAGCAGGTACCATTCTCAGTCTGCCTTTCACTGGAGCACTCCAGGCTTTTGTCAAAAGCTTATAGTTCCCAGCAATGGTGTGAATCTATCCAGGATAGTTTAACAGTGTTCAGTGCACCAGTAGTGTTCTGATCACAGCAGCACAGAGCTTATTATAGTTAATTATTGTATTCTTTCTAATGGGTGCTATGCCTTTTTTTTTTTCTACTAAAGAGAATAAGACTCCTTCTCCACGGCAAGTCCTCAGTCTGGCGTTCCAGCCTCTCCAGTCTGCCACAGGGAACACACCCAGTAAGGTGGTCAGAGAGAAGACTTCTCACGTGCCTACATGCTCCAGTGCAACAACTCAGCCAGTGTCTGTGGAAACCTTCTCAGGACTGAGATTAAGGTCAGCAGCCTAGCGCTGTCTGGGCTCAACCCCTCCAGTAATAGGAGAGAAAAAGCAATGTATGTGGTTTAACCATGTCAGATTAGTCACTTGTCACTAGAGGATGTAACACAAAGCCACAGCACTGGCTGGTTGGTCAGTAATTAGGCAACATTGACTTTTGGCTTAGTACCATGTTTCTGGTTTCACCTTTGCTCTTTTCTAACAAAAAAGCTATAATTTCATTAGCTCTGCCTTCCCTGGGATATCCTCAGTGGTGGAGCAGTGGGCATGTGCAAAGCCCAACTGTGCTCCAGTTGAGCAGGTTTTTGCTCCACAAGGAGAAGCCTCGGGAGCCACTTGCCATCCCCATTCTCAGTGTGGCCACAAGAGGACTCTGAATCCTCACGGTGTCTCTCCTCACCAGAACCCTGCTGGATTCCCAGCTCAGTCAGCCATACTTGGTCATTCCTGAAACGAGCAGAGTTAGTGCAGGCTCTGGGCTGAGTTTCAGTACAACTATTTGGACAAAAAACAGCCTGATCAGTAACTTTCTGATATTTGTACAGTGCTCTGAACAAGGGGTTTTGTTTCAAGTGACCTCAGGGTGAAGTAAGGCACAGAGGCATTTTGCAGCAAGATGTAGTCTCCTAAGGAGAACACTGGATGGTTCCTATTGTCCATTTATGCCAATGGATGTGCTCTCTTTTCCACGCTTTCTCTTGATGTAGAAAACCCCGGGTGTCTTCAGCTGAAATGGACAGGAAGATGGCCAATAGGAAGCTCATCCGACTGTCCCAGCTGAAGAGCAAACTTGCTGCAGAAAATCTGGAGGAAATAGACTGGGTAACATTTGGAGTCATAGTGAAGAAGGTCACTCCTCAGAGTGCAAATAATGTAAGTAACTTCGTTGTATCACTTGTCCAATTCAAGTGAAATGCTTGGTAGTCTTTCCTGAGAAACTAATTGTGTGTTCAACTTAATCAGCCAACTCTGTGCAGTTAGTGAAAAGCTGCTGTATTAAAGATCTTGGCTTGTCTGGTTTCATGGAGTAATGCTGCTTTTAGTCCTAAGGGTAAGTCCTTAACTTTTCTGGTGCAACTGCCCCGACAGTAGCATTGGCTCATGTAACCACAGCATAAATCCATCTTGACTATGTTCATCCTCTGCTATATGTTAAATTTCAGTGTAGAAAAGGGGACTGTGGCTCTCAGGCTTTCTCAACAGCCTCTTGTTTCAAATGTGCCACCACATTCTATTCTCATCATTTCCCTATGTGGTGTACATGTCCTATAGAAAGTCATTGGTGAAACTGATCTGGATATGCCTCAGTTTTGTCTGTTCAGTGCTCTTTATTCAGCAAGCAAGTGTGCTGTCCAGCTTTAATATCAGAAAGATTGCTGGTAGCAGTAATATTGTGCTGTTTTGGCCTTGAAGAATCCCAGAACTGGCAGTATGGCATAGCTGGAGATTCTCTAACCTTTACTGGGGTTACAAATTGTGCTTTTCTAAATCAGGAAAACCTTGGAGGGGGGAAATCAGAATAACTCTTTTAAAGCAACAGCAAGAGGGGATGCAGTCAGCGTCCCTGTACCAAGGGCTGAAAGGAAAGGGGACGTCTGTTCCAGGGCAGAACCTTCAGTATCTGGCGGCTGAACGACCTGCAGGATCTCAGTCAGTGTGTCTCGCTCTTCCTGTTCGGTGAAGTCCACAAGGAGCACTGGAAAACAGACCAAGGCACAGTCATTGGGCTGCTCAATGCCAACCCTATGAAACCTAAAGAAGGCTCAGACGAGGTGAGAGGATTTTTCACTTCTCCATCAGCTGTAGATAAAAACCCATAGGTGAACCTTTTCATATCTGGCTGAGATTTAGCTTTATAGCACATGTCAAGGTTGAAATTGCAACAGTCTGCCCAACAGTTTGAATTGCATTCAGGGAGTTGCATGGTGTGTATTTGCTCCTGGAAGACTGAACTTCAAGAAGTCCTATTAAGCATCTAAACCCAGAGTTTATTGCAGTGTTTAATCTCTCTGTAGCAGTTGGCTCTTCCACAAATGTGGGGGGTGTATGTTCATTTCATTTCAGTTTATTTAGCTACTTCAGTGCAGCACCTATTTCAGCCTAGAGGTCTCTCAAAGCTGAAAAAAGGTGGAGAAGCTCATTTCTCTCTTCTAATTAAAGCATGAGATGTGATTCCAAAATCTGAACTGAGAAGAAGCAATATTTGATTTATTAAACAAATAATGTATTATGTAAGTGCATGTCAGTTGTTACATAGTAGTTCACTTGTCTAATTGATTATTTATAAATGCAGAACGTGATGAATTACATTTCTGTACGTATCAAAACATTTAAGGTGGCTTGATTTTGCTAATAAGTTAATATATTTTTAATGCCATATTAATTGCACTGGAATGGAAACCATTCTCACTGACTTCTTTCAAGGGGAATTTCAGTCTAGTAGTTGATCATGTAGTGTTTTGCATTTTAAATTCTCCAAATAGAAAAATTAAGGATCTCATTAATTGTCTATTAAGCTACATAATTGCTTAAATTAGCATGAATAAGCAGTAGAAAGTCCTGTTGGTGAGCAGAAAGGCATACCAGATTTCATGGAAGGGCTGCATTTATCAAAAATGGCTCTGCTTAGCTAAAATGTTCACATATAGAACTACATTAAAACTGACTTCTCAAAGTGTTTCTTGGCTACAGACGCAATCCCTGGTATCTTTGGTTGTGTGAAGCAGACATTCTTCTTGCACAGGAGTCAGTTTTGATGGAACCTAGACATGTGGAGAGGGACAGAGAACTCTAGTACAGCTTTTGCTCCCATCCACTGCTTGATATGAGTGCCATCATGGCATCAGAGCCAAGTGGCTCTACGGGACCATTTACAGCACAACTAGATCTGCCTTTGCTGGTCCTTGGTTTCCTGAGGCACCGAGCATAGAAATCCAATGTCTTTATCTCTTCGTGAGAAATTCCCTTTTTTTCTTTTTAACTGAGCCTTTTCTCAGTCTGAATAGGACACATGGCTTTCTTAAACTAGGCCTGCATTTTAAAACTGCATTGTTAATACCAGAGGTACCAAATTAGACCAGAGCCAAACCAGTGACATCTGGAATCATGGAATGGCCTGGGTTGAAAAGGACCTTAAAGATCATCTAGTTCCAAGCCCCCTGCTCTCAGCAGGGAACCTTCCATGAGACCAGGTTAATCAGAGCCCCATCCAACCTGGCCTTGAACACTTCCAGGGATGGAACATTCACCACTTCTCTGGATAATCTGTGCCAGTGCCTCACCAGCATCACAGTAGAGAAATTTCTACTAATATCCTCTCTAAACTCACTCTCTTTCAGTCTGAAGCCATTCCCCCTTTTCCTGTCCAGAGAGAAGCCCATCCAGTCCTCCTCAAGGCATGTTCTGATTTCTTTCTAGGTGTGTCTGTCTGTGGATCATCCCCAGAAGATCCTGCTCATGGGGGAAGCTCTGGACATGGGCACCTGCAAAGCCAGGAAGAAGAATGGTGATCCTTGTGCCCAGATTGTGAACCTGGTCTGTATCTCAGTAGTCAGGACATCATTAAGCTGTTGGTGAAAATCTGGCTGCTCATTTTGTACTGATGCTCTGACTTTTTGGCTTGTTTCTGGATCTTGGCTGACTAAAGTGGGTGGAGAAAGTGAGAAATGAAAGCCAGAGAAGCTGCTTCTGTGCTGTCACTGAGCAGCAGCAGGGGAGTTCCCTAGGGCAGGTGCTGCAGTGAAAGGACCCATGAGTGCCACGCCCTTTCACTCTCCTTTGCTCCAGTGTACTGCACTAGAAAACTCATCCAAAGTAAAACAGTAGGAGATTTTTCTTGGGAATGGCTGTTTTTCAGGATAGTTTTAACCCAATGAGTTCCCTGGTCCAGTGTGCCTGCAAGCTGTCAGAATAATTATACCTGAATGTGGGGCACTGGAGATGAGAGGAAGAGGTATTGGGATCCTTCTCTTAGGACAGTACTGACTTGTAGTATTTCAAAGGACTTGTGGATTATGTCACTTCATAATCTATGGTTATGGTGATGCTGTGATACCTGAAAGGGATCCTGTCTAAGTCAGAAGGGTTGTAATTAGTAGGGTAGTACTTAAAAGGAGGAGAAAAAATGAAGGAATGAAGGAATGAAGAACTGGGGAAGAGCTCAAAGTGTGTGGAGTGTGAGAAAGACAAATACAGAAGGTACTTGTAGCAAAACAAGGTTGTGATTGCAGACCCACTCCAGAAGGTGGCTATGCATACAGTACATAAAACTGTGTATAGTTCAGAGTCAAGAATACAGAATGTGGGCAAGAGGTCCTGGATGGTGTGTGAGTTGACTTCAGCCAAGGAGTAGCCTTAAAATTCCTTGAGGCACAGGGTTGTTTCCAGTGATTAGTATAGGCAGTTGTGGCTTTGTTTTTCATTGCTGGAGTGTGGGCATGTGTTGGCTTAGGTGGTCAGATGCTGGAGTACTGCAGTTCCTTTGGTTTAGCCACAGAAGGACGCTTTAGTGGGTGAGAGGAATGAAGTAAATTGTAGTAGCTGGTGTTCTGTAACAGGCTTCTCCCATTTCTTTCCAGAGTGACTGTGAGTATTGTCAGTACCACATACAAACCCAGTACAAGAAGCTCAGCTCGAAGCGGGCGGATCTGCAGTCCACCTTCTCCGGCGGCCGCATTCCCAAAAGAGTCGGCCGGAAAAATCCCACTTTGAAGGAGAGGCTGTGTCAGGATGGGTTTTACTACGGAGGAGTCTCTTCAGCAGCATATGCAGCCTCAGTGTAAGATAAACCACTTATTTGTCTTGCTTTTGAACAGAATTTCCCTCCCAAGGGAGCCTGAAGCTATCTCTAGGGGGGGTCTATTTCATTAGAGAACACTTTGCCTTAACTGCATTCACCAAATAGGAATAACTGCCCCACATTTCAAGTAATCCTCCTGGCCCCATGGGGTAACAGAGCTGCTGTTTGATAGGAAAATTTTAAACCATTGCTAAGATGTGGTAAAGGGTGTTCCTACCTCTAAATTAATACTGTGATGAAACCAGGCAGCATTGGGTTTCAGTAGATGAAATTAATTTTTATCATGAGATCCCAAGCATTTGAGTCTCCCAGAGGAGTATTTTTCAGTGTAACTGTATTTTGTAATGGCTCACTGCATTTAATCCCAGACACAGTGTATTCTGTGTTTCCTCCTCTCTTCCTTGGCTGAAATAATAGAGTGTCACTGTGTGTTAATAAAGAGACAGGAGTGACCAAGATCAGTATGCATCTCATAACTAGCATGGAGGGGCCAGGTCCTTTATCCAAATCCCCTGAAGACAAGTGTGGAAAGATGAGTCACAGCTGGATCAAGCCCTGTGCTTGGACACAGCTTTTGTTCCCTTATCACTGCCCTCTGATACCTCTGGTGTGACTCTACAGAAATGAAGCAATTCCAACCTCCTTTCCATCTCTGCAACTAACTGCGAGCAAAGCTTAGGTATGATCTATGTTTAGTTTTCTCTCAATGCATAGGAAATACATATTTCAACACAGAGAGAAATGGGAGATCCTAAACATTGTGCTGGAATTTGGATTTAGGTCCACATCCTTTCAAAGACAGATAGATGACACTTCAGGGTGGCTGGAGTTTTGTTGAAGCACTGGGCTAGAATTCAGGCTCCTGTCCTTGCTCTAAGCACAGGAAAACTCTGATGTTCTGGTTTTGTTTCCTCTTTCCAGTGCAGCAGCTGCAGTGCCGAAAAGGAAGATTCAAACCACTCTTTCCAACCTGGTTGTGAGAGGAGCTGATGCAATTGTCCAGGAAACCAAGCAGAAAATTGGTACCCACTTCCCCATGTAGTCTCTTCACCCTTTAGATATTTCCAGCTCAATGTGTAGATGTGTCCCAGGACCTGCTAGTCACTGAATGAACCTGGCAGTCAGTTTGCTGCAGAGATAGCCCTTTGCTGGCTGCTTTCTCAGTTGATCAAAACCCCTCTTCCCTCCTGAGATCACAGCTGCAGGGCAAATGTAACTAAGCAACTGTGTAGCTCCATGGATCTTTTTTCATCAGTGCCCACGAATTAAGTCCCCTGTTCTGTCTTTGGACAGTGACAGAAGATCTTTACCAGATAAATGGGAATTGGAAGTTTTAAGAACTTTGAACTAGAGGATTTATTTTATTTGATTAAAATAAATTACTTCTGTCAACCTTGAAAGCTTCCAAGGAATACTAAGTATAAATCAGTCTGGTCTGCAATGCAGGGGAGAAACCACCCTGTTTCTAGTCCTTTTCTTTTGTGATCTTCAAAGCATGTTCCTTCCATAGCCTTTGGGATGTCACCAGTCTTCTCTGCCTCTGTTTTGTTTCTATAAAGCACTTAATATTATACCCTCTTTGTGCTCACTGGAGAGCAGGTGACAGATTATTTAAACTTTGTTCTAGGTGCCACTTAGACATCTTATTTACATCTTGCAGTTCCATCAGTTGCCTCCATTTCAGGCAACATAGTGTATGTCTGTAGCAGCTTTCAGCAGCTCTTAATTCTCCAGGGATAAGGTGTGGAGTCTTCAGGACTTTCAGGCATTCCAAAAATGGGAACAGTGGGAGTAACACAGCCAAGGCTGATGAGAAACTGACTGACAAAATTGCTGACAGCATAGAAATGTCTTTGTGATGTGCTTTGTGAAGACAAGGCCTTGGGCAACTAAATATAATGTAGAGGTGGGCCTTGCTTTGGGAAGTGCTCACTCAGGTGACCCACAGGGGTTTCTTCCACCCCAGATGACTCTACATCTCTAAAGCCAGGCCTGCTTCCCTTTCTGGCTCCAAGTCTGTTGTATTTCTGCCCCTTCCACTCCAGGTGCAGCAAAGAGACCCATGCAGTGTTCTGAGGAATTCAAGGAACTGCTGGCACAGCCAACTTTTGGAGCACGAAACCTCTGCAAACACTGGACCAAAGCAGGTATTGTCCTTTAGACTAAAGGAAAACCCACTCGTGAAATCACTCTACACCCTCTGAACAAACATTAGTGACTTTTTATTTTGGTTTGTTGTTTTGTTGGGGTTTTTTTCCCAGATGCTGAAAAGAAGCAAGGGGCCAATTTCCAGTCTATCTCTGCTTCAGCACTGCTCAAGCAACAGAAACAGAAATTGCTGGAGGCCAGAAAAAAGCGATCTGAAGAGATTCAGAGGCGGTAAGGCTTTCACAGGAAAGGTTCTGTTATTGTAGCCCTAAGTATAACAGTGTTTTAATAGAAACTTCATTTAAATAGAAATATGCTAGTATTCAGTGGAGAACCAAATGTTCCAGCACACTATCCAGCAGCTGGAAGGCATGATGGGAAGAGGCTGATTAGAGTAAGAAACTGGAATCAGGAGTTCTGGTTCTGTTCATTGCTGGCTTGCAAGGGTCTTCTGAACCTTAAGATTTGCCAAGTGCTTTGTGCCTATGTTGTTAACAAACCTAAGAAGAACCTCAGAAGAGCCATCCTGGATGAGGCTGAGATTGATGCAGCCAAGTAGCCTCAAAAGGCTCAATGGGAGCCAAAACAGAACCCAAAGGAGAATAATAGGCACAATCATGATGATATTTCCCCCCATATATTCTTCTAGCCTACAACAGCGAGTATTTCAGGGACTTTACAAGCTGAAGGTGATGTCTGTTACAATAGTTCTGAAGGAAATTTTTCCCTCTGAACCTGTTCAACCTCCATTGTGACCTACATAAACACTTATGTGGCTCCTGGGACATAGAACCCCGTGCTTAACTACCTGTTCTGCAGTGAAGCCCATTTTTCCAAGTGCTTTCACTTCCCATGTCCCAGCTTTGTTTGATGCCTCTCTCTCTGATTTTAGTTTTGGAAGCAATTGGTCATTCACTCATTCTGGTGGCTTCTTCAAGTCACTCTTGATTTCAGCGACCCAGCGAGTTCTTACCAGCCTTGTTTTCCTCTCCTGAATGCCTAAATTACTGTATGTTTCTTTTAGCAATAAAAGGCCAATTAGTGAAAAATCGCAGTCTGCATCCCCCTCCTATTTGTTTCTTAAGCTTTTCTGTCTCTTTGGCTTGTGTCCCTAATTGAATGAATTGTTCTTGTCTTACAAGGTTTCTCCAGAGCACAGGTAAAACCAGCAGTCCTGCTGTCCCATCCTCCTCCAGACAGACCTCCCTCCATTCCCCAGTGGCTGGGGCAGAGTTTCCCAAAGATGCAAAAATGTCCACTCCTCAGAGGCCCAGGCTGGGCACTGGCTTCTCGGAAGGAGAAGATATCCTCTTCTTTGACAGGTCTCCACCTCCTCCAAGACCAAAGCTGGACAGCTTGGCTGAAGCCAAAAAGGTACCAGATCTTTGGATCTTTGGATCTTTAATCTTTGGATTAAGAAGTGGAGGTTAAGGGAAATTTGGTTTGTGGTAGTAGAGGAGTCTTTGGTCACATATGGGCCAGCTCAGTTCTGATGGTAGTGAAGCTTATGATTTTTGGGATCACACTGGCCTATATTCCAGCACACAGGAAACCTGTGGTTCCTGATAGTGCCAAAGTCCATGCTACCATCTTGCCTTTAGTCAATCCCTTAAGGCAAGGGATTTGTGCTGAAAATCTCTAGAGTGCTAAACTCTACCTGTTTGCTCTTTGGCATTGCTAGTGCAGTGTATGGTGAGTGTTTTCCAGGTAAGCAACAGTGAAGTAAACTGGTTTAGCTATGTTGTGCCAAGAGTTTGGATAATTTTGGTTTCTAGCCAGAACAGACTGCATCTTTGCTTGGCAAAACTCTGCTCACAAGTTTGTCAAAGAAACCTTTGTCTTCCAGCAAGAAGGAAGGAGTTTTAGCATTCTGGGAATGAAATTAAAAAGAATAGTTGTATGCAGTTTTCTGTTAGCTCCAAATTATTGTCAATTTATGTAGAAATCTCAAGTGGTTTGATTTCTCTGGAAAACTTACGCATTTGTGAAGCAGGTAAAGCACAGCTACAGAGATACCAGGCCTGGTGACACCCATGGAGGACTGATTTCATGGTTTGGGAAGTCATGAGATGTTGGGTGATGTGGTGAATTAGATGTACAGCAGAGCTGGGAGTTTTGCTGGGCCTCTCTCCAGCCAACTCCATACTCAGACCACTGGATTTTGTCTCCTCAGTTTTGACAGCCTTCCTCTGCTACTTCTGAGAGTAGGAACATGGGAGCCAGACAGGTCATCCACACTTTCCTTGCTCTTTCCTGTTTTCCAGCTGGCTGCAATCCACCGACTGCGAGCAAAAGGACAGATTCTGGCTAAAACAGACCCAAACAGTGTCAAGAGGAAACGGGCTGATGCTGATGGTGTCCTAGAAATTGTTGAAAGAGTTGAGAAAAATGTTGCTCAGTCACAAGGTGCAGAAGCAGAGAATGGTATGTAATGTTAGCTTCCAGAACAGAAAAAATGTGCTTCTGTCCTTCTGAACAGAGCAGTAGTTGCTGGGTTAAGGACTTAATTGCTGTGCTAAAGAGAGGCCAAGTTAGGTCTGTTTGAAACTTCAGGGGGTTGTTGCAAAGACTAAACAATCTCTAACCGTGTGGAGAGAGTGTGAGATGTAATCTGTTGTAGCTCCCTGTCCTCACCTCTATTCCCTTCTGGCACCTGACCATCTGCAATGCATGGCTGACATAACCAAGGAAAACCAAGAAATAATCCCACCTTGGAAGGTATCTGAATTTTCTGTGGGAACTTCATTTTGCCTGCTGGTGATTTACTGTGTGATCGTGGATAAATTGCTTAATTCCCTTTAAAGCTTCTCCATCAGTCAGTAAGGCAACAATGCTTGCTCTCCTGGGATTAACATGAAAATTCCTGGTACAGTGCTTTGAGAGAAGATGCAACATTGTTTAAAAAAATGCTTTTATTTTTTCTGAAGCCATATTTGAACTTGGCTTCATGTTCCTGAACTACAAAAGGCTGCTGTTTGAGCTGAACATCTGCCTGAGAGACCTGAGACCTCCAAAAACTCCTGCAGAGATCATGCTTAGAAATCACAACCTTGTTTTGTAGGACTGAGCCTTTTTGTTTCCCTAGATCTGGATGAGCTGGAGCCTGCCCAAAAGAAACGGCGTGAGCAGCTGGCCTATCTGGAGTCAGAAGAGTTCCAGAAAATCCTGAGTGCCAAATCCAAGTACACAGATGTCCTGAAAGAGGTATGGCCTCAATCCAGCCATGACTGAGGGTGCAGAACTAGGGAGCTGACTGGACTCCTCATAGTGATTTCAGGAACATGTCACAGGCACCAGATCCTCCTGATGAAAAGGGTCGGGTGTCTCTGAGCACACAGGGTACAGTGCCTGCAGGTCAGCACTACTGCCATAGCCATAATAAGGCCAAGTTGCCATCAGGGTTTGTTTTTTCCTGTGTTTGAAAGAATTAGTGAAGTTTCCTGATTAGTGGTGATCAAAGAAATCGTTCTGCTTTAAAACAGTCACATGCCTATTTTGTCCCTCATTTCTTGACATCTTGGCCGCATAAAGCCATCTGCCACCTTCCTGTGTGACTCATGTCAGTCATGGAGCCTGTGAAATGCCAGTAATTGCCCTGAGGAGCTCAGAGGTTGGGTGTCTCCCACTGGAGTCTTTGCTGAGCATGTTTCCAGGGATACAGCACCTCCAGTGCCACAGACTATTGTGTTAGACATGTATTGCTATGAAGTCATAGTTGTTTTAAGGTCTTCTGAGGAGTAATATTTTGGCTAAGAACCAGTTCCATTCATTACATCTGCCTACCTGCCCTCTCTCTGCACTGTCCTCATGGGCATGTCCTTATTTCTGTACTTTATGCTGTTGTTAAACCCACCCACTCATACATCTCAGAGTGGCTCATTGAAGTGTTGGTGTAGCATGTTTACAGTATGGATTATTTGAAGCAAAAGAGATTTGGTGTTTCTCTGCTCCCAGACTGCAATCTGCTTCAAGCAGGCCTGGTAATAATTTGCCCTAAGGCCATTTATGGAGTGGCTTCTCCCATCTTTGTCTCCTCACAACCCTCTTTTTGTGCCCCCCAGGCTGAGGCTGAACTGCAGGAGCAATACTTTCAGCCACTGGTGAAAAAGGAAGAGCTGGAAGAGAAGATGAGGAACATCAAAGCAGTGAAATGTCGAGTTGTGACGTGTAAAACGGTGAGGGAAGGGGAGCCAGGGTAACAGCAGTGGAGTGGAGCATGGATGGTACAAAATGATGCTGGATATCCTGCAGACTCCCATCTGTCACTCTCTTGGCTGTGGTCCAGCACAGGGATCAGATGGAGACAGTTTTGTTCCTTATGCCTGTTGCTGAGAGCAGCACTGGCTGAGACATGGCAAGGCAGACTTTAGTGCTGTGCTGAACATCTCAGCTTGGTGTTTATGCCAGTGGGTTCCTTGGGCATTGGTGTCCTGAAAATATTTCTCAGTTTCTTCCATGAAGTGCTTCATACCAGGACACTCAGTTCCCCATATTACACAACAAAATAAGCAAAGCAACTTGAAAACATTATCAGTGGGTGGGAATCCCTTATCTGCATTTCCAGGGACTTTGCCATCAGGAAGGGGAGGGGAGCTTTGTGACTCTCCCAAATGTGCTGAGAGAAAGGGAAGTGTTGTCTCCCACTCCTGGAGTTTCAGCCCCTGCTGAACTTTCCCTTTTGCTGCCTTCCCTATCAGTTTGGGGGCTGCACAGAGGGCCACTGTGTGCCCCATAAGGTGCTGGGAGCAGGACCACAGGGTGGTGGCATTAAAAGGAGCAGTGATGAAGCCTGGGGTGGTGACCAGTGACAGGACCTGAGGGAATGACCTGAAGCTGTGTCAGGGGAGGTTTAGGTTGGATATTAGAAAAAGGTTCTTCCCCCAGAGGTTGGTCGGGCACTGGACAGGCTCCCCAGGGCAGTGGTCACAGCACCAAGCCTGACAGAGTTCAAGAAGTGTTTGGATGATATTCTCAGGCACATAGTGTGACTCTTGGGGATGGTCCTGTGCAGGGCCAAGAGTTGGACTCGATGATCCTTGTGGGTCCCTTCCAACTCAGGATATTCTGTGATCCTGTGAAAGGTCTGACTGGTGGGCTCCTCAGGATGGGAGAAGACGGGGATGCTTCCCTCTGAACATTCAGCTGTTGCTGGCCCACAGAACAGGTCTCACACTGGTGAAGCACTCACAGCTCTCTCTCTCTCCTCTCTGACAGTGTAATTACACCTATTTCAAGCCTCTGGAGACGTGTGTGCAGGAAAAGCACGACTACTGCTGGCATGATGCCATCAAGCGATTTTTCAAATGTCCTTGTGGAAGCAGAGCTATTTCCCTTGACAGGCTCCCAAAAAAACACTGCAGGTAAGAAAGAAGCCTCATGAAATAGTGACTGGGACTTTTGTACCGTCCATTCACAAATAACACGTTGTGAGTCGCATAACCATGTCCTAAACCAGGGACATTAGCCCTTGTGCTAGGCAGCGTGGGCAGGGTGTGGGGCTAGCTTTGTACTCCCTCATACTGTGCAGCAAACACACACCACGGTGGTCCTCACCTTCCATCTTCATCTTTCAGTACCTGTGGCCTCTACAAGTGGGAGCGAGATGGGATGTTAAAGGTAAGTGTGAGCAGCAGTTCCTGAGCACCTCAGCACTCTGGCTGCTCCCCTTGGTACTTTTGTCCCCCGCTTTGCTTCCCCGCCCTTATGAGCTTCTGGCAAAGCCAAGCAGCTCTGCATTTTGTCAGGGACACGCAGGGACCTGCAGGCTGTGTTTTAGTGGACTTCCTCCTCTTGCTTTCTGTTCTCAAAGCTTTGTTTCGTTTAACCAGGGAATTTGCTTTTGAACAAAGTTGTAAGAATTCAAAATGTCAAGGTCCCTAGAGTGTCTGTCCATATTTAATCAGATTATTTAGCCCTACCACAACTTCTGTCAGAGAAGTGTTTGGGAGACATCTATGCTTAACTTCTTTTCTCCATGATTCATGTTTCCAGGAGAAAAAAGGTCCGAAGATTGGTGGAGAAACACTTTTACCAAGAGGAGAGGAACAACCAAAATTTCTCAATAGTCTCAAGTGACCTGGAGTTGATTTTTTTTTTTCACAACCTAAGGATGGATTTCTGTACCTGAAACACACATTTATACTGGACTGCCAAGAGGATTCAGATTTTAGGGATGTATGAGGGGGGGAATCAATTCTTGATGAAAAGGACATCTGAAAGGTGTCCATCAGGCCACTGCATGGATATTGAGCTTTGGTCTTTTTAAAATTGACTGAATAAGGCTGCATGTGAAATGCACATTCGTGCCTGTTCTTTCCAACTAACAAAACAAGAGTGACCTCACCAGACTTTAATGTGACAAATCATCATGAACTGGAGGGACAGTAGATTCTTTAAGCACTTGTGAGATTAATACTGTGATGTGATGCAATTAGTACTAAATGCCAGCCTGTCAGGTTTTTCAGCTCTTGGCCTAAAAGGGGTGTGAGAGGATTGTAGGCACAGGCCATTCTCTATTGGCTTAAAAATTACTCACTTTGAACCCCTAGGAACAGAAACAGTTTCCAAGTTTTTCCTTGGCTTAGGTGTTACAAAACCCTTCCATGGCTCTGGCATTGCAAGCCAGTGGTGTGTACAGTGGAGACTCAGGAGCTCCCTGTCCCACAGTCCATGTCATGTTCCCAGCACCATCCACACTACAGCACTTCTAGGGCTACAGACCTGCAACTCCCACTTCGAAAAGCATTTTAATGAATGTGGGACCACTTTGTGAGTGGTTTTAAACAGCTGAGTGATTACATTTAAAAGCTTTTACCCATTTTCTGGCATTTTAAATGGGGGCAGTGGCTGTCGCAGACCAAGCAGGACAAGATCTCCCTCCAAGGGGTGGCTCCTGAGAAGGGCTGTCTTCATACAGGTGTTTTTCTGAAAGCACATCTCTCTAGAGGTGCCTGGGGCATTTGACGAGCTTTTCCTGGACCTGAGCCTTCTGCTGTCCCTAGCCCAGGCCCAACAGGATCACAGGACATTTTTAACTGCCTAAAACCACTAGAACCTCAGTGATTTGATCAAAGTGCCACCAGCAGTCCCAGTGGCCTTGTCAGTGCCTCTTGTCTGCTTGCACAGGGGCTGGGAGAGAAATAATTTGCTTCATTTGAAGAGAAATAAGTTCACTTGAAGCAACTGGACAGATTCACCTCAGCATTGTGCAGCCCTCATCTCTTACTGGTGCTTTTACTGGGCAGCTTGGCCTATTGCATCGGTTTCAGTCTTGTGTCGGTACCATTTGACGGGTGGGGTGACACTGGTAGGTGACTAAATATGTCACTGTCCCTCGTGAATTCCTCATCCAGAATAAACAGAGTGCACAATAAAACACTCCCTGGGTCTGTATGGTGTCATTGCTCTGAGGAGGAGGAGGAGTTGCTTCATCAACATCTTCGTTTGCCCACGAGCTCGGTGCCGAATCGCCAAGAGGAGCTGGTTTGTGGTCCATGACTCCAGCTGCCACACAGTTTTCTTGGGAGTTTCGAACCTGGATCCCACAAAACCATCAATTCCACATCAATATCAGCCTTTTAGTTGGCAAGTTGAAAGCTTCGGACTTTTTCCAGTTCCTGTCCTTTGGGCCAGTGGAAAAGGGATTCTGCAGAAATTAAATTGTCAAAGGTGGGGGTAATGCTTTATCTTCATAAATGCCCCCAGGACTGGGATGTGTAGCAAAGGTATGTGGGAGTGAAAGCAATACTGAGTTCATGCTTGTATGCAAAAACAGGGTGAAGAAACCCAGGCCCATTGCTTTGCTTAAAACCCAGCAGTAAACAAGGAGTGGGGGAGACTGATGGGTTAGATTTTATGTGCCTCACTATTTTTTTATACACTTTTCCTGTGCCAGAGATTACACTGCTACGCTGATTCCTGAGCACTTGGCTCTTAACAACGTGGAAGACAAGACAAGGACTGGAATCAGGATGGTCACAGAGTGAGGAGATGAAGAGAGACTGGCTGGTGGTTTGTCCAAAGCTGTCTCCAAAATGGGTTTGGCGTTGCCATATCTGTGAGCAAAGGCTGTAATAAAGAGTCATGAAGTGTCTGCTAGGATTTAAAAGTAGAAAAAATAGCCTCAGCTCACAACAAGGAGATTGATGTTAATGTTGGCCAAAACCATGGTAACTGCGCTGAAATACGGTGCCAAGGAAGCACCTACCAGCTCCTGGGACTCATTAACATTTCCTGATGATTTTTGGAGAATAATGATTGGAAAGCCAAACTCCCCCAGGGCTGGAAGGCTTCAGAAGAGGGTGTCCAGCCCTGCACACCAAAACTACATCCCAGCATCCCAGAGCATTGAGCTGAACTACAGCAGGATGTCCTGGAATAAAGAAGAGTCATCTCTGAACAGCTCCCCAGTCCTGCAAACCACAGCCATGCACCCATGGGCAGAATTTCTGAGCCATAGAAACAACACAATGCAAAACAGAACATGGTTTTGCCCTAATTTAATTTTTATTTCAAAAATAAAAATAAAATCTCTGTCTTCATCAGCTATACCAATGACTTCCATGTGAGCTCTGATTCACTGGTTTGTTTTGAATGGAAAAAGGATGTCAGAAACTTTAAAAACATAACCATGCATAGATTTTTTTTTTATATTACTATTAATTTCATCTAACTATAATAATTATGAGTATATTAAGATTATTAATAACTTTTCATTAATAGAGCATCAGCCAAAAAGTATATCAAGAGAGAGACTAGAAAAAATAATCAAGAAACAATGCACAAACTCTCATCATAATTTTTCTTTGATTACCTAAACTAACTGCAGCAATCTGATTTTGTAGGTCAGGTGTTCCTGGAAGTCCATCAGCTGTTAAGCCTCACTGCAACTATTTTGTATTAGAATAAAATGCTTTTGTAATGCAGCATTTGGGCAAGTTCTTTACACAGAGGGCAAACAGCACATAAATTTGAGTCCTCAGAAGCTGATGCTCAGGCACGTTTTCCATCCTAGTCTTTAGAGGTCACTTTAAAGATTCATTCTTTGTCTTTGCACAGGACAGACAACACTAAATGAAATAAAAATTCTAACACATAAAACCCCACTTGTCATAAACCAAGTGCTCGTTGGATTGATGTGGTGTACAGAGGTGACACCATAGATCAACACTTCCCTGGAAGAGTTCAAGGCCAGGCTGGATGGGGCTTGGAGCAACCTGGTCTAGTTGAAGTTGTCTGCCCATGGCAGGGGGTTGGAACCAGATGATCCTTAAGGTCCCTTCCAACCCAAACCATTCCCTAAACAATGCCCTCCTATTCCTGCAGTTTCACTTATAGTCACCTGAAGAGCTGCTGGCACAAGCTTGCCCTACCTGGGTTGATTTGCATTGGAAGATACCAAGGCACGTGGATGAAATAAATTTTGGCAGTTCAGAGGTGGGAAAGGTGATGAGCAGAGCTGGAGGAGGGACTTGCAGAGCTCCTTGGCTGCTTCCCAGAGATCTGAAGGGGTTGCCTGGGGAGCAAGGGCGCTTCTCCAGCACAGGCAGGCAGCAAGAAGCCTTATCAGCAAAAAAGCCAAAAATGCTTGTGAGTTACAAGATAAGGTCGTGAATTAAGATTAGCACAAGGTCTGGAGCAGAAGTCATATTTTTCTTGACTAAATTCAATTACTTCTTTCTCCAGCTGCTCTTGGATCATGTCCTTAACATCAGTGTAGTAGCCCTCTGAGCTGTGAGGCAATTGGGCATCATTCACTGCCCCTCTACACTGCCTCTATCATTACAAATGATTGCTGGAAAAAAACCTCGTGTGTCCCAGATCATGGACACCCCACCCTCCCTCACAGGTCCTGTCAGCAAGTTCCTTCCTCCTTTCCAAGCACTCCTTCTCTCCCGACAGTGTCCCCTTGGAGCAATACCCTTCCTGGAGAAATTCCCTTGCTGACATGCTTTTGCCAGACACCTCAGCAGAAAACAGCTCCAGTCTCAGCTCTGCTGCACCACAAAAGGGTATAAAAAGTCAAATCCACTTAGAAAAAACCGTAATGTAGTTAATTAAACTTTCTTTCCCCCCCCCAGTTTCTCTTGCATGAAGTACGACTTTGATCTACAGCACTGGAAGCCAAAGCCAGGATTCTAAAATCCTTCCTCTGGCACCTGTCCAAGCGTCTTCATATCAAAGCGCTGAGCGTGCAACCGCTGTCAGCAAGGTCAGGAGTCAGACTAAATCTGACATTTCTGAACTGTTAGTCTGGAAAATAGCACATAAATTCTAAGCAAAGAATCTTCGCTGTGTTTATTGTCTTTTACCAAGCTCCAGAAGGCCCTTGTTTTCAACACACGTGAAACGTCAAGGCCAAAAAAAAAAAGGTGTCTTAAGACATCGAGGCTGCAGGTGCAGAAGGACAAATAAGCAGCTGGGTGTCTAATTTTTACATGTTCCTTTTGTAAACTCAGTTCAAAAAAAAAAAAACAACAACAACAAAAAAAAGGCAAGGCATGGTTAACATGGTGCAGAGACCTAAACTGCAGAAACATTAAATTAGAATATTTTGGATGTAACATGCTGTTACATACAACAGCACTTCAATTTAGGTATTTAGGTACATGCATGTACCTCCAACATGTGAATCCAAATATCTGCTGCAAACCAAATTATAAGAAACGTATCTTACCAAGCCAGGGCTAACCTAAATCACACTAACACCATAACAACTTAATATATTTTCAGAATTGTTTCTAATTCAATTCAATTCAAGCAACTTTTCTAAGAGGGTAAGTGCTGCTACAGTTAAATACATGGTGACCCAGGCATGTTAACAGCTTCTGCATTTCCCTCCCCCTGGAGCTCTGCATAATGGATTAGGAAGTTTATTTGTCAGCCAGAATCCAAGAAAAGCCAACACATGAGGAAACTGTACCTACCCATTACATACATTAACACAGTTTCTTGCTGTATGAAAAGTGATGTGAATCTGCTGCTGCTAACAACCCAACATGAACACAAAGCACAAATCCATCTGGTATTGGACAGGGCACGTATTAGAACATCACATAACCTTCCAGAAGGGTTAGTCTGACCTGCCCAGCTTGGACATTGCCCTCACCTTGGCATTAAAACATGTATACGTTCACAAATCTCTGCTGGGTTCTCCCACCAGTGTCCCCTTTTGGCTTGTTACCTCTGGCAGAGTACAGGATCTGAACAGCTCTTCATCTTCCCAGAAATTATGCACTTTACCAACTTTTTTTCAGACTGAACCAAGTTGGGTCTGCAGATCTCGTCTCATTATCAGAACTCCTGGTGGATTCATCCCCTTGTGTCCCAGGGAGAACTGCCAAGAAACCCTTCCCACAGCAGACACAAAGGGCACTTGGAAGAAAATAATTAAGTAGTAATTTAAATTAAATTTTTGATTCTTGTATACATGAAGATACAATTTACCCAAACGTTTTTGGCTGAGCAGCAGGAGCAGTTATCTGGGGTATAAACTGAGTATTCACTCAAGCACAATAGAGTATGAAAACACCACTGCAGAGAAATGACACCTCTCCTAACACTTCACAGGGAAAGCACAGGAATTCATTTCAACAAGTTTAAACAAACTGGACTGTGTCCTGCCAGGCAGAGAGAACAGTCTGCTCCAGAGGACAGTAAACCCCCCTTGCTAATGGAGCCTCACAACTGCTTTGTGCGTGGATTGGAGCTTCCCACAGAGAAACTCTAGACCTTACCTGTCAAGAGTCACACAAGGTGTGAGCAGGACACAGCCCGTGCAAATGCAACAGTGGTGAGTGAAGGGAAAGCAAAAGGTGAGAGGAGCAGCTGAGGAGGGAGATAAATGCTTGGGATAGTGAGGAGGAAGAAGCACTTGCAGCTCCAGCAGCTCATTTTGGTAAAGGCACAGAGTATTTAAACTTTTCCCCTCACACAACCCTTTTGGGAATAGTATATTCACAGGCATGTAATGCCTAGCACCACTCAGAAGCAAACAAACACTTTTGGAGAGACAAGGTTCAAGAGCAACCTTCACAGCAAGGTTCAGGATTCAAATAACTTCATTTATCGTTCACAGGATGCTCGGGAACATTGAAAAGTTTAAAAATCAAAAAGACCTCTGTTCTAACAAGTCATTTTTAGTTCTCCAAATCCATTTATCTCCTCCTGGTTCCCATGCTCTGCAGGAAAAACTCCTTCAGTATAAACCTGAAAAGGATCCAGGAAATCCAGACTTCTCCAAACAACCTCCTCACCCCAGCCAACCAAGAGAAAGACATCA